GTTGTCTGTATTTTGTTGATCTAACCTCCTAACATCTCTACCCTTAAACTCATTAATTCTATTTGGAATAAAGAAGAACTGCCCATTAGTGGAAGGAGTCTATTATGGTACCAATTCACAAAATGAATGATAGTAATTTTCATTGGATATCACTGCTATCAACTTCATACAAAATTGTATTCAATATCCTTCTCTCTAGGTTAAGTCCATGTACAGATGAAATTATTGGGGATCATCAGTGTGGGTTCTGACATAACAGATCAACTACTGATCACATTTTTTGTGTTCATCTAATGCTGAAGAAAAGAATGGGAGTACTAAAATGAGACAGTACACCAGCTATTCATAGACTTCAAGAAAGCCTATGATTCAGTTAGGAAGGAAGTATTGTACAATATTCTCGTAGAGTTTGGGGTACCCATGAAACTAGTCAAGTTGATTCAAATGTGTTTAAATGAAACCTATAGTATAGTCCATTTAGGTAAAAATCTGTTTGATAATTTTCCTATCCAAAATGGTCTGAAAGAAGATATGTTTTATTGTCATTGGTTTTCAATTATGCTTTAGAACGTGCCATTCGGAAGGTCCAGGAATATCTGGTGGGACTGAAACTGAATGTGACACATCAGCTCCTGGTCTATGCTAAGGATGTGAATCTACTGGGTGATACGAACATAGATACTGTGAAGAAAAACACAGAAAATTTAATTCATGCTATTAAGAACACTGGTCTAGAAGTAATCACAGAGAAAACTAAGCATATGTTGCCGTCTCGACACCAGAATGCAGAGCAAAAATCATAACATAAACATAGCTACAGATCCTTTGAAAATGTGGCAACAGTTCAAATATTTGAGAATGACAGTAACATCACAAAATTTGATTCAGCAGGAAATTAAGAGACTTTAATTAATTTTATTAATAATTAATTAATTTATTATTTAATTTTGTCTGCTGTCTAGAAACATAAAAATTGTAATATACAAAACTATAATTTGCCTGTGGTTCTGTATGGGCATGAAACTTGGTCTCTGATATTAAGGGAGGAACATAGACTGAAGGTGTTTGAGAACAGGGTGTTGAGGAGAATATTTGGATCGAAGAGAGACAAAGTGACAGGAGGTTGGAGAAAACTGCATAGTGAGGAGCTTCATGACTTATACTCTTCATAAAGTATAATTAGAATGATCAAGTAAAAGATGATGAGACTGGCATGGCATGTAGCATGAAGGGAGGCAAAGAGGATATTGGTGGGAAAGCCAGAAGGAAAGACACCACTAGGAAGACCAAGACATAGGCAGGTGGGTAATATGAAAATGGATCTTAGAGAGATAGGATGGGGTGGTATGGACTGCACTGGTCTGGCTCAGAAGGGACAAGTGGAGGGCTCTTGTGAACATGGTAATGAATCTTCGGGCTCCATAAAATGCAGGGAAGTTCTTGAGTAGCTGCACAATTGGCAGTTTCTCAAGGACTGAGCTCCATGAAGTCTGCAACATCCAGTACAAGTTACATATATGCAGGCATGTACCTAATACTTGAAATTTAACAATATACTAATACCCTTCTTGCATTGACCGCGCCATAGCTCAAGCGGCGGCCCAGATTCAATCCCGGGTCTGGTCATGTGGGATTTGTGGTGGACAAAGTGGCACTGGGGCAGGTTTTCTCTGAGAACTTCGGTTTCCCCTGCCAATCTTCATTCCACCAATTGCTCCACAATCACCCTCACCTATCATCTGGGGCTGGTACAATAGGCCAGAAGCGGCTGCAGTACAAGGGACTTAGTCCCACCCCAACAGCAATAAAAAAATCCCTTCTTAAAATTCCTCGCTAAAACAAACATTTTTCTTATATGTTTTTAGGTGTTCACTGTAAAAGCACAATAGACCACCGTAGGTCGTGGTGCAAGGGCCAAGAAGGCCTACCCCTCATACATTCATTAGGTGTTCACTGTGGTGCGTGTTTAGATTGTCTCGTGCCTACACACACAAACACATACAGCAAACTCCCAGTTATACAGTACCCAAGCATCTGAAATTCTCATCCAAACAGCAAATATGCATGTCTGTGCACCTGACACACAGCAGTTCTCCCAGCCACAACTAGCAGTGCTACCCATGATCCTCTCTCTTGCAGGTGCCATTACAATATAAACAGCTGAACTTGTGATTGCCAGTATGTACCCAAAATCTTTCCTGCATCAATCTATGTCAACGAAGAAGACTCTCATACAATAACTAATGGGAAATATGTTATTCTAACTTTGAAACCGGAAATAGAAATATATAAAAGACTGCAAATGGGTGAAATCATGTGAAAATTTGCTTTCTGTATAAGTTTCTCTGATGCAACCAGCAGATTCCTGTAACTGGAATATTCCATTCCCCATACATGTTGGATACTGGGCAGTTTAATGTACACATAAAATTATTAATGTCTGAAACTTTACAGAAAATGATATGGGCCGTATAGTCTGCTGAAAGTCAGCTGACATTTCAGAGGAAAATAGATGACTTTTGACTAACAACACAGCATAGCTATACATCCACTCCCCTATATGCCTTCATGGTGTAGTGCTTAATTAGTTAAGTGCAGAGACAACTTTACCTGTACACAGCACTATATCCCAACCTTTCATGTTCCCCTGTTTTATTTAAACAGAAACATCTGCATATATGTTCATAACATCCTGTCACTTGCCTTAATTTCAAGCTATTAACTGGACTTTCCACAGGTTCTTGATTCAACAAGCATTCCACCAATTCACACTTCATATCCTGTCACCACTGCCCACATACTATTAAACAGCTCACAAAATTACAGCAACACAACTCAAGACATTGTACCATCTAACATAGTGCAGTTATTTATGGCAAAAATTAATAACAATATAAGAAGATGGATTCTCAAGGGTTCTGACGATGGTGTATAGCACTCAGAATTACTGGGTTTTGGGGCTCTGTCCATTGTCCAGTATTCAAAAACTTGGGAACACAAAATTTCAGAAACCAATCTGTTTCCATCCTCAGGTGAGGGAGGACACCTACTCTGTTGGGATCCTTAGAAAGAATCTCAATCAATCCTCACCTGAGGACAGAAACAGATCCAGTTTTGAAACACTGTGTTCTGAAGTTTTTAGAATACCCTGATGGACAACGCCCAGAAACCCCAGTAATTCTGAGCATCAGATGGCTTAAAATATTTTCTCTATTCACTGGTTTCTATTTACCATATCTCTTAAGTACCTGAATCATGAAACTGAAAGTAACGATGTCTTAAACCATTTATATCAAATCAGGAATTACTTCTCTTGAAGAAAGCATAACTAATACCATGAGAAATATTAGTGATGGTGGTGGCAGTGACAACTTCTATATCCAATGGTCATGTACCTGAATGGATCGATGAATGCTAATAAATACAATACAATACAATACAGTAGTAGTAGTAATAGTTGTTGTTGTTGTTGTTGTGCTAAGGACTGCTGTATGAAAGTCACCTCAATAAATTTTGTTTAAGCAAAGTATTCGGGGTCTCTGTTTTGGCAGGTGCTACAACCTTCACACTATTCACACCTGACAAACACGTATAATGCAGACATACAACATCCTCATAACGCTCATAACACTCAAATTCTAAATGTATTGTTGTCCACAACCTTACAAACAACGTACGTATTACAAAAGTTGTGTACATAAAAGGATACTAAGTAATTTCTTCTCCCATGGTTCAAATACGTATATACAAGTTACTAGTTCATATTGGAGATACCAATATGACAATACTTTCATTAGTTTCTCAAATATCTTGATCATGATCCACTTTCAGCACAAAAATGTAGATTCCCACTGTTCTTCCTTCTTTCTAAATATGTCGTATGCTATGTGTATTTCGTTACTCAATGACACAGTGTTACCAATCACCTTTACACGAAATTGCCTGCCAGGTTAACGTGCATAAATCGAACCATGTCGTCAACCTTGCACCTGCAGGGAACCTGTATCCAATTCAACCCACTGCTTGATGAAAAACCGAAAATAACTGCCAAGATACTATGGATTGAATATTTCTCAATATCACAATCAATTACAGAGATAACCATCTTTAAAACAAATTTAGAAAACGCGCCAGAGCAATCTTCTGCTGGAATATGTTACGTTGGCACAACCGAGAACCATTAATGATGAGTACATGCTATGCGAACAAGATCGGCGGAAGCCAAAATTCAGTTAATGGGTATGTCAACAGCGCGAACAAATCGTTCACCTTCGCACCGTTTCGCTGGCAGTACGACACATCAAACAAATTTCGTGCACAGCGAACGGGAAACATTAAATTGTCGTTCGCTTCTGCTCGCAAGCGTTCTTCTAGTTGGATCATATCCTTTCATTTTCTCTTTCTACTTACTGACGTTCACTTTCTATGATGAAATGGTCAAAAGATGCCGTTGAAATCGTAATATCAAAACACAGTAAAAGAAATTGTTCATGGTAATAATAAAGCTATCCCTGTAACAGGCCGCTGAGGCCCATAGGGTTGTGAGACGTCGAGGCTCCCACATTTTCTAGACAATCGGCTCGCAGATGGCAGTGAGTTCGACAGCCTTACGCGCCGCCCGCCCTTTACCCCAAGAGAGATTCCTGATAGTAATTTCTGTTAGAGGCTCAGTTGACCGCAGGGCCATAATGTGGATGGAAAGATTAGGTTAATTGAAAAATCCAATTATCTCATCGGGAATCAATCCCGTGGCCTTCCGGCTTGTAGCATAGTGTCGAAGGTGTCTATGGCATCGAACAAATTCATTGTTATTACTTTCAAGGAAAAATTATGTATGCAAAGTGACAGAGTTTCGGGTTCTGTTCCAGGTTGACATAACAATATTTTCGACTCCATAAAAAGTATTTGCTCTATTGAAGAAGGAAGTTTGTGGACATTTCACACTCCATCTGAAAATCTGCTCTATAGAAGAATAACGTCAATAAACGAACTCCAAACAGTTGGGGCTAATATACTTTATTTTAGATATACTTCCATATTGTTGTTATTTCACATCGGCAACCAACATGATGCGATATCCACGCAATACATACAATTATCTGCTAACGTATTTCTTGCTTACCATTTCCACTGGCCATGATCCAGCTTAATTTCCTCAACCTTTCCCCTAGGCCTGAATAACCACATTCCTTAAAAATTCCCTACATAACTGAACATATTCCTCATCACACACAATCAAACCCTGAAGATGGAGGCAGCATATCCTTCAAAGCGGCAGTATCCGCAGTAACGTGACTAAAATTTAAATCACTTCACATATTAGGCGCACGAAAGGTACTATATCACATCCTATAAACATGTCCAGAAGAATAAATTTTTCCCCCATATTCTGCCCCCACATTAATGTTCAATGGGCAGGGCTGTAGCGGTATTATTGGGTCTCATTAAATTACCAAAATATAATTAATCTGTCGTTATCTCTGGTACAATAGAACACTGATAAATAAATGTTTAAAAAGACGAGATATGAGAGTCTGTGGCTTTCCTTAATCAATACTGCAGCTGGTACTCTGGTGTCATGCAAGGCGAATACATTGCCTCCGAGGAGTCTGCATGCCAATACATTGCTGGTGGTTCTTCCTTGAACCCCGTAGCTGCCAGGTCCTCTTGGTGGCAGTCAACTGCCGTCAGACCACACTGTGGATGAGGAGAAGCTGTAGACATCATGCTGTATTCACCAGATCCGTGGTACGCCATAGTGCCAGGTAGTTGATATGTTGGAGGCAGGGTGTCCACATGATATGTGTAATAATATGGATCCCTAGTCATGTCTGGCCACGTGATTACACTGTGCTGTTGGGTAGAGAACCGGGAACCGCAAGCTTCTACAGTCATATCGGGACCTATCTCCAGCAGGGCTTGTAGGTGACGAATGTACCTGATAGCCAGCCTGCAATCAAACAAGACCGAATTGTTCATAGCTCCTTTTCATTGGCGTATTTAAATTATTGTATGCAGGTGCATTAAGAGATATTTTAAATACGGAACAGCAATTTCTCGTCAACGGGGGTGCTCCTCAAATCACACAGCAATGGGAAAGACGAAGTTCTTGTTAAACTGGGAGTTATAGGAACTGTGGCCGGCTTAAACAGTTATTAAGATCTAATTAAGTCCTTTGTTCCTTCAATAAACACTAAAAAGTAAATAAAAATTATTGGTATATTAGACATAAATATGTAAAAACCACCACAAAGGATAGCTGTACAATTATAATCTGGAAGTCAGAAAGCTGGTTTCGGGTATTATTACAGTCCTGTCTCCAGCAAATGTGGATCCTTTGGTTTGTAAGCAACCGAAATTATCTTCATGTGAACTTAAAATGAAGTAGCTGATGCGTTAAACAAGATGCTGCGTTTAGCAATGCTAACCACACAAGAAAAACCGTAGATACTTCAAACCTGCTGTCTTAAGGTGCGTCCACATTACTCGTGCTCGTGCTCCTGATCGCCAGGCTTGTGCTCGTCAGGAGACTCGTCAGGCTTTTACTTGTGCTCGTAAATCTTCGTCCACACTACCTCAGTTGCTCGCCAGGCTTCGGCGCGTGAGGATCCGTATATTTACTCGTAGTGTGTATAGGCTGTAGTTGTATTTTAATTTATTGGCTATAGCTTTTAATTTAAAAAATTTAAAATTTGCTTGTCTCGTGACTTGTCATATCGTCCACATTACTCGCGAGCATAGCGAGCACGAGCACGAGTAATGTGAATGCGCCTTTAGAAGGATTGCTGTACGACCGATTAAAGGGTCGTTCAGGTTTTCAGGAAATAAAGCTGTATAGCAGGCTTCCACTCTCCTGTGGCTTTCCCTCTGGCTATAAAATAATATTATGTACCAAATCTTGCCACATCTAATATATTTTGATTGGCTGCCAAGTAGATTATACGGTCCATGATTTATTTCAACCGTCTTCCAGTGCATACACTCATCTATCTCCTCCTCTCACTCGCACTACATGTTTCGGCACAAAAGTGCCATCTTCAGGTGCTTATTCAATTTACGCTAAACCAGTTCACTGCATGCCTTGTCTTCATATTAAAATAACAAAAACACATATATTTCATATATATTGATAAATGTTAAATGTCAAAAATATTAAAATTGTTCAGGATTTTTTCATCCCTACGTCGTATCNCTTTTAATTTAAAAAATTTAAAATTTGCTTGTCTCGTGACTTGTCATATCGTCCACATTACTCGCGAGCATAGCGAGCACGAGCACGAGTAATGTGAATGCGCCTTTAGAAGGATTGCTGTACGACCGATTAAAGGGTCGTTCAGGTTTTCAGGAAATAAAGCTGTATAGCAGGCTTCCACTCTCCTGTGGCTTTCCCTCTGGCTATAAAATAATATTATGTACCAAATCTTGCCACATCTAATATATTTTGATTGGCTGCCAAGTAGATGATAAGGGTTTGATGGTTCATACATTTCCAATAAAGTCTACTCAGTCATTTTAATTTATATTATTTTATTTCTTTAGTTTCTTCGGGTGGTGTGAGACTGATCCCACTTGGTAAGTCGGCCACTAATTGGCCTTTTGTATCAGTCCCCGATGATAGATGTTGATGATTGTGGACCAGTCTGTGGAATGAGAATTGGAAAGGGAATCCGAAGTCCTCGGAGAAAACCTGTCCCAGTGCCACTCTGTCAACCATAATCCCACATTACCTGACCTGAGATCCAACCCGGGCCACCGCGGTGGGAACCGACAACTAACCACCTGCGATATGGCACAGCCTCTACGGAGTCATAGTTTCTTAATCCAGATTGAAGGGGCAAGAAGTAGCTGGTCATCGAACACAAAATTGCAGTCCTCATGTTTCCACATACTCCTTCTGCATCCTAAACTTATTATTGCAGTCACCCACAGTTCTGCATTTACAATTTTCTCACCTGAGTGACTCTATTTTGGACAGCTTCTTCCCCGGTGGCTTGCACAATGGCAGCTTCTCTCTCAGTTGGTCGAAGGCTCGGTTCATATCCCTCATCCTTGTTCGCTCGCGATCACAGGCCGACTTCTTGTAGTCTGTGGCATACACATTTGTCTAAACACGATGCAGATATTTAATTTCATGGAGGACGTCATGACAATTCTTTGTCAGAATCTGTTGCAATGAAGTAGTTAAATGTTGCGATTAGCTGGAAATATAGTTACAGTAGGAAGCCAGGAAAATGGTACAGTTTGATGAAGGGCTTTCTTGTGGGAGGTCACTGCAAAAGCTGAGAAGGATTTGGGGGTTAATATTAAGGCGAATGGTCCTAAGGAAAGTACACATTAGTGTTCAAGAAAGAAGAAAAATTAAGTAAAGAAGTAAGTAAGAACGAGTCCTAATGAAGAACCGGAAGAGAGGATATAGAGAAAACAAAATTTGCCTATTTAGATGAAATCTTGGGCAGCAGAGGAAAATGGGAAAATGTGAGAAAAAATATAGCAATTAAGGGGAAAATAAGATTGAATAGAATTAATACATATGTAGCAAATGCCCCGTAGTACAGAATCCGGTAGCAAGTTCTTCTGAACACGGTAGTGACGGGGAAAATCTTGAACACCTCAGCAACTAATCTCCTTCTCAATGGCTCTTGTTCCGTGGAGTTAGTTTCAACAGTAAGCCACTTTTCTATTTGTATTTCCATATTTCTGGCACATTAAAATAATAGCTTCAACGAGAGTTACATTATGAGTTTGAATGTTTTTACTAATAAGCTTATCATGATGTTTAACCTGAATGTCTCAACAATAAGCAAAATGTTAGGACTTTGAATAGAATCCTAATCTGTGGGCCTGGCGCCTCTAAAAAAAAAAAAAGATGGAAAAGAGTAGTCTTGAAACTTAATTAGACCCATGGCGTTATTTTTGTTCAAACAAATTTCCCATTATACAGGCCTTTCCCTTGCAAGACACGCAAATTTTCATCTCAATCTGTTATCTTGTAACTCAGGGGCCTATTGCACAAAATATTTTTTTTCGAAATGCTTCTCTCAACGATTGTCCAACAGACCTAATTTATAATGGGCCTAAAAGCTCAGGGTCCATTCATTTATGTTTTTAAACACATCTGTTATCCTTATTTCAAATTCAGATTAAATTCTTATAATATTTTCGAATTTCATCGCGAAGTTTCCGTAAAATTTTTAAGCAGAATCCGCGAAATATTTCGAGACCAGACATGTTGCATGCCCGTAATTGATTCTGGTTGTTTTTGAGTTGCATAAAGAACACCTGAAAATTATTTCTTTTCACATTTACTTAGCTCATTCCTATGTTATTTAACGACGCTCTTTCCATTACCGATACAGAGTTAGTTTATCAAATAACAATATATGAATCATATTCAAGAGTTCGAAGGGTGTGGGCCGTGATCTTCTTTAATATTCCGAAATTCGACTGAAGTGACTGAGAAAACCCACGAAGATATTCGAAAAAAAAAGGCCAAATTCCAAATCAGTAAGAATATCTCCTGAACGCGAGTCAATAGAACGTTACCACGACACCAAACGTCTAGGCACGTCCCATAATGAACGCCCATTATTATTATTATTATTATTATTATTATTATTATTATTATTATTATTGTTGTTGTTGTTGGTGTGGTGTAAGACCGAGGCTGTTGGTGCTTTGACCGCAGATGGACCTAAGTATCAGCTGCTCGATATGAGATGAGCTCAGCAATGGTTGAATAATACTGCCAGGGGAAACCCCGAAGTACTTGGAGAATAACCTTTGCCAGTGACTTTTGCCCTCCGCATGTCCCGCGTGGACTGTCCTAGGGTTCACCCGGACTACCGAGGTGAGAAGCCGGCGAAGATACGCCTGAGCTATGGCACTGCCTTATGAACGCCTAAACTATTTAACATTATTAGAATTGATTCTTTCATCTTAGCTCAAGTTGATGTTAGAAATATGGTAGATGAATCGAACCTCGCTCCAGTTGGGTAGAAGCCATTCTCCACGCTGTGTTGGGTAGCGTTTGAATAGTGACAACATGGCGCTCCAAAGATGCATTTTGTTCCGTTGTTCCTGCCCTGACTTCTTGCGGGACTACAGTTCTTTCAGCTGTGTCATGTCTGCCTCTGATTGGCTGGACGGTCTGATACTGATAACTATTGCTGCCATCGCTACAGGAAGCAGAGAATTCTATAGCTGTCTGGAGGCGGGGAGAAGCCTCACGACGCATAGCAATGGCGCCATTGTCGGAAGACGGGGACCTGTCGCTGGCATCGCCTGCGAGAGGCGAGGCTTCTTGGAGACCCGACTGGTGTTCATCATTCGGCAATACTATCAGAGACATCTGTAGACAGGAATTTGCAAACGACAGATTATTATCGAATATCCAAATAAATCTATCTCCAGGTAGGAATGAACTGTATCTATTTGCAAGATAATACTTATACAAAAGTATCTCTACACGTAAATCTTATCAAACGAAATGTGAACCACACAAATCGAAGTCCTACACTAAACTGACTTCTCCAGGACTTCGCCATGAGAACGCAACGAAAAAGAACGCCATGAAACGACGATATTAGATGAAATAGACGATAAAGGCCCATTTGTCTGGGTAATGTTACAATTGAATTTTCAATGCTGTGACAATTTCTGGCAAATGTCGTTATTAAAAATAGTCTTCCTGTTACCAGCATAGTTCATAACATTTTTATTGCTGCGCCTTAAGGTCGCATCTGAAAGGCCGCACCATAGCTCAAGCGGTTAGTCGCTGGCTTCACACCGCGGCGACCCGGGATCGATCCTGGGGTCTGGTCAAGTGGGATTTGTGGTGGACAAAGTGGCGCTGGGGCGGGTTTCCTCCGAGTACTTCGATTTCCCCCGCCAATCTTCATTTCACCAAATTCTCCATTATCATAATCACCGGGGGCAGGCTACAATAGGCCAATCAGTGGCCGCCGTACCGAGTGGACCCAGTTGGACTCCACCCTCCACTAAGCGAATTAAAAAAAAAAACTCGCTGGTATTAACCAACAATAAAACGGAACGTTAGTTCCCCCAGAACACGTTTTCCTAGGACGGATTACAAAACTCTGAACCAAACCGACATCTCCTATCATTTCCTTTAACGAACTACTCATTACTCTTGTGTTTACACGATAGTGACACTGGCTGCATTTCGGTCGACCCGTGGCATGGAGACCTGCTTGGGCTTCTGACCAGACAGTGATGTACAGCAAGACACTTGGTCCACCCCCACATTTCGTAGCCTCCTGGCCGAGAAGACTGTTCATCCCCATAAATAATATTAAAAAAATTCAGTTCCTACCTCACAGGTAAACAATACCTCTCAATTATAGAGATGGTTCGATTAATTCTGTTCAAGAAGATGAGCACTATTTATTCTGAGAATAGTATGAAACACATAAACAGATTCTGTGTTCAAAATGCAGAGTTTCTTAATGTTAAAAGTAGTTGATATATATAGTACCCGTTATGCTTCACAAGATTGGCTGGGGTTGCAGTCAATTGGTGCCAGCAGTATCTTCAAGCAATACTTATTTCTTATTTTCCTCAACTGATTAATTTCATAGGACCTCGTAACATAAAATATAATTAAAAATGTCAAGCCTAAGCATAGACCTCTTTGATCGAGGAATAAAGGAGATAGTGACGAGTCTGAAAACACATATACGAGATTTCTTTATGTAGAGTCCTATCTTTTTGGATATAACTCCGCGTAGTCCTCTGATAGTTGAGCAGTGTTTCGGAGAAATATGGCACTTCCATGTCTGTTCCACCGTCAGCTCTGCTCGCTATTTATTTCACCCCGGTTTCCTGTCTTGCTTATTCTTCAAACCTGGAGACACGTTTATCTGAAGGGTCGGTTCACTTTCAATAGACTACACTGCGCTATATCCCAGACGACAGGACTCTTCATAACCACCGCTGTGAGAACATCAAATCCTACATTTCTTTATGAAGACTGTTACAAACTGAAATGATTAGTTCACAGTAAGACAATATTAAAAAACAAACAAGAAATTTCTGCATCTGTTGTACAGAGCAATATGAGGAATACACAATTTATACTATTTAAAAAGTAAACTAGGGTCTAATTCTATATATAGGTATATGAAAATGAAATACTGTATTTACGCATGTATAGGCCGCGTGCGTGTATAGGCCGCAGCAAAATTTTCAGACAGAAATTATAGAAAAAATAATTTCCTCGATCTTTGAACACCCTGTATTACTAATTATCAATATATATTTTTTTAAATGAAGTGTGATTTCGAATATTTCGAATATAAGCCGCACCCCAGTTTTCCTCTTGAATTTTTGGCAAAAAATGTGCGGCCTATACATGCGTAAATATGGTATCTTTAAACATCTTGAACTACAATGATGCAAGGAAGATGGCTATTAAATATGTACCTCCTGCATGCAAGATGAAGTCACACATCACTAATAAAGAGCTCTGAACAAGGGCAGAAAATGAGGACTCGAACAGTAAAGAACAGTATCAAGATTGGCGATATTATATCGATTCAAATACACTTTTCATTCAAAATAACACGATCGCCATTATCATGTGTGTTTTTCGATCTGCAAGTATTCTATTGTTATTAAAACATAAAAGCCAGGTTAGTGTCTCGTTTTCTGCACCAAATACACTGAAGATATGTTGACTGCAAGTACTACATATGCCCAACACATATTTCTTTATATTGTACTCATTTCGATTTCGCGACTTGTAAAGGTACAATGAATGTCAATGATAACATATAGCACGATTCAAGGTAGTATATGTTAGTGTAGAGTATGTTTCTCATCTACGTCGAAACTTAACTTTTGCTTATTACCTAGTGCTTGCAGTCAAGTCTTGAATTGTCTACAAAATTCAGGGTGTAACATGTTAGTTGTCGATATGAAAGGCTATATGGCCCAATGCATAGAAACTGAATAAAAACAAAAATATACTATTTTAATCTATCCGAGTCGTTAGGAAGCAATCAAGTCACTAGACAGAAAGAATACGCAATCTATCACGCTACAGACGCTCACGCATCACTGGATGCTGCTGTAAGAGCAAGTAATATATTAAAAGCAACTACAAATATTATTTCTGCTGATACCCATGCATTAATACTAAGTCCAGTTTCATGACAATAATGATTACTGGATGATGGTAGTTCTAAATGACGAATAATGTCACTATTAAAAGAAAAATTCCAGATTATACAAACAGTCCTTCCAATTTTAAAAGAGGTAGAAATGAAGTGGCCTACAAGAATAAAGGAAATTCATTTCGTAACAATTGAACATTAGCCATTATTTTCAATGTCGTGTGTGTCTCTTCCAAATAAAACATTCATTTTGAGAAATAATGTATGAAGTCTGCTTTCGATAGTTTAAATTCGAGTATACTTGTAAAAAAAAATCATTGTTGACACATACCTTTGGTGACGACCTACTGTTATAGCTAATTTTTGGAAGTATGACGCGTAATTCCGTAGAACATCAATACACACGAGCTGAATGTAATTAATTTCTGCGTTGCTTCATTTAATGGTGACGAGGCGGATACTGATGTGTGTGTGGCAGACCTCGACAGAGGATTAGTGAAAAGGTGGTAAGACGTGGCGGGAGGCATGAAGAGGACAGTAAGCCCTCCCCCTGCACCCAAACAGCACACAGCCATCTGATTGTAAATAACTTGGCAATAACGCTTTATTCCCAACACTACATAGGCTTGCAAACATTTCGTTAATACATATTTTATTAAGCTGTTTCAATGGCCAGGATCGGAAAATTTTCGGCATGCTAATTAATTTGTATAATGTATTAATTTGCCTCTTGGAATATATAGGCACAGATTTAAAGATAATATAAAATGTATCTTAAAGAAATAGAGCGTTCGGATGTTGACTGGATTCATTTTCTCGTGATATGTTCCGGCAACGTATTCTTGTGAACACGATAAACAAATTTCGGTTACAATAAAAGGCGGGGAATATTCTGGCCAGCTGAACGACTATTACTGCTCAAGAATGGCTATGCTAAGTTACTAGTTTATTGATTTATTTCAGTAATATCATAATAACTCTTTTGAAAATATACCTCATTTCAAGACAGTGACACGTCTAGAATATTAACTGGGATTTTCCTTAAAAAGTACCTAAGAGGAGCTACAATTATAAGCTTTGATTTACAAATCAGCAATGCTACTAACATACATATTGGTCCCTTCCTATCCAACCTTACCTTTCTTATTAAATTAGATAAAAATAATGTACATTTTGCCTAATTCAAAAGAGGATTTGTCCCTCAGAGTGTCTTATAAATACGATTTAAAATATAACAGAGAAAAAAGTAAATAAAATGGGGTTCATGATCAAATTTTATGTAAACAGATCTCAGATAATGTAAGTTAGCAGTGGATAAAGGTTTCCATTTCCTATTTTGTCTCTAATGAGTGCGAATGTTTATCGCTGAACAGTAGAAAGACAAATACATGTGGACGGTGTGGTGAGAAAAATATGTGATCCTAGGAGGAAAATATATAATGAAGATAATAATTACTTCAGCTCTTTGACCACCAGCATTTTGATAATGAGATCGTTCAAATTTGAATCTTAGTATACGAGGAGGATATCCTCTGTTTTGCTGCTAGCTTATCTATTGCCATTCAAATAGTTGCAAATGTAATAACCAATATTTAGTTCATCACATCCTTTGCACTTTCAAAATATATCCCAGGATGCAAATGGTGATTGTTAAAAACACAAATGTAATTTAATTGTGCCCCACTGTTTAACTTATCGCATTCAGTTGACACTTAGAATTAAAATGGTGCATTCTTTTGCTGTAACCCTGTACAGAACTCTACTTTCCAGGCACCTGCTCGCTCTGTGTGGAGTGTGACGTGCAATATGAGCAGGTGAGAGAAGATACACAATAATACAGTCGTTTTAATTAACGCTCGTAAGTCAATATAGGACGTACATGTGTTGCGTAAAAAATACTTCGCGTGAGGAAAACGAGAAGATATGACAATCAAGCCGGATATAGGAGGCTGCAAAGCAAGAGAATGGAAGGCAGGAAACCTAACTGGGAATTCGGGCTTGCGGAAGTTTGTGTTGTAATTAGTACTAGTTTGAGTATGACCCCTGTAGGAATGATAGATTTCATCGCAGTCAAAATGTTTTCAGACGAATAAGCCAAAATACACTGTGCAGTAATTTATAATTTCTCATGGACGGCCATGATTTTTTTTTTTGCGAATAACGATAGGGCTATCTCACAAAATAATATTCATAGCAGAGAAGGGTAAAGACAGACTAGTTGTTCAAGGGTTGCAATAGATAACGATTTAAAATAAACCCTTCTGAATAATTGTGAAGAAATATAAAGGAACTAGGCCTAAAGATTGTGACATGTAACAAACCTATTCAAGTAAAAACATTTAAATATATTTTATATATCATTCGAGGGACATCATATTTATAAGTTTCTGCCGACTACTTTTATTGTAATTATACAGACGTGTATAGCCCTGCCATTCTCCCCAGGCTAAAACGCAATCAATGCAACTTTTAACTGAACATAGTGCATAGAGCCTATTGTTTTTGGCAAATGTGTCATAAGACAATGAAAACTTGCAGTGCTTGAATTTCGTACTGTTTAATTTTTTTTAGTGTGTGTGTGTGGGGGGGGGTTATTTACCAGAAGGTCCTCTGTTTTACAGACAGAATCTATCTTCAGTTGCATACAGTCTGTTGAAACTGGGGGTAGAATACTTCAAGAGAGTCGGTAGTTTACTGACAGTATTCCGTCAGTGCCATCTAACGCAGATAATTTAAACCTTCTTATTCGATATTCATTCTAAATAAGAATTTCATTACATGCTAAATTATATGTAAATAATTAAGAATATATTTATTCAAAATATGAAGATATAACGAATGAGGAAATTATACTTTATTGGAATGAAATTGAAAGATTCAGAATTTTATTAACGCATTCCGAGTTGGTTTTGAAAATGAAATTCCAACGAAATTGCTGTTGGAAACATCTGAACACAATGCTCCTTCAATTGTTTATGCAGAAAATAATTAGCATAGAATGGTTTTGGTTGAAATTTTCTTCAATTTTTACGGAATATTTAGTTTCTATATTAGAAGCATAGATCAGGTTGTGGTCAATAGCGTAACCATGACATTCAGGACCATGGTTTGTCCCTGGCTACATTGGGTGGTCTTAGAAAGTTATTTTTATGATGCTTCTGCAAGGATGAAAAGCATGGATTACCATTTTGTACCACTGCTGAATTTCATTACGTACAACACAGTTTTACACTTCTCCCTAAGACAGGCAGACAACCTTGTTTCCAAAAACAATTGTTCTAATTTATTTCGTGGGTGTACCCAATACATCGTATTCCAGTTTCCCATTAAATCTTTTTTTTTTTTTTTTACAACCTGACCGATTTAAATGAAACTCAGAATGAACATAACAACACATCCCCGTAGTTTTCACAGCCTATGTTCTTTTGCAGAAGGAACAGGGATAGCTCAGTCGGTATAGCGACGGGTTTCCTTTCCCGACAGGGGTGAGATTTTTCTCTTCTCCACACCATTCAGACCAACTGAGGCCCATCCAGCCTCCAAGCTGATGGGCACCGAGACTCTTTCCTCAGAGTAAAGGGGCCAGGGCATGAAGCTCACACTCACCTCCATCAAGTGCCGAGGTTAAGAATGGAGCGATATATACACTCCCTCATGTTTTCATGGCGTGACAATTTTACTTTAAGTTGTTTTGCACGAAATTCGGGAAATGGACGTGGATGAATGATTTGTAAAGAAATTTATGATAAAAAAAACAGTATGCATATGCTGTCTTTTCTTGTGACTAACAGTTTCATAGTGAGTGAGTTGATTTTTCAGTTGAATACATGGGGTATAATTTAGGAGCTATTTCAAGGAAATAGCGGCTCCGGTCTAGAAAACCGAGACTAATGGCCGTGGGGATCCGATGCGCTGCCCATGTGACTCCCTCTATCCGCTAAAGTTCGCACTAACTTCGCTTACAAGCGGCGGTCGCTCGGTCCGTATAGTTTGCTTGCGGACTACAGACCATGGAGTGTTTTTGAATACATGGGGCGGTGCGATTATGTTACTGGAAGGTGACTGATGATTGCTCCTGCATAATTATATGACAATAATGGTCAATGGAGTTTAACTTCTACTATGATTATATATTATTGGGCTCTTATACCCAACATCCTAACCAACCAGTTTCATAGAGCTGAGCCATTCTTGAGAAGCAACCAGTTGTGCAGTTGCTCAAGAACTTACCAGCATTTTATGGAAGTCTAAGGTTCATTATCATGTTCACAAGAGCCTTCCACTGATCCCTATCCTGTGCCAGATCAATCCTGTCCATGCTACCCCTTATCCTACAGGCATTCCTTTTCTCCTTCATTCGTGCTACACACCCAGCCCATTTCATCCTCCTTGACTTGATCATTCTAATTATACTTGGTGAAGAGTGCAAGTTATGAAGCTCCTCGTTATGCACTTTTCTCCTACCTCCCATAGCTAGTCAATTGGTGCCAGCCATGAACTATTAACCTAGCATACATTAAAATGCATAAATAGATATAAAATGTATACAAAAAATAAAAACTGCATTATATTTTTTGGCACTACAGCCCCAGTGGGCCTAGGCCTACCTCCATGAACTCCGTTCACTTCGGTTTTTCTAGATCTTACGCATTCGGTAGGACTCCTTGGGCGAGTGATCAGCTCGTCGCAAGGCCTCTACCTGTACACAAACACAGAAAAACGCACACAAACATCCATGCCCTGAGTTGGATTTGAACCCATGATCTCGGCTTCCGAGCGAGCGAAGACAGTGCATGCCTTAGACCGCTCGGCTACCGTGACCAGCGCATTATAATATACCTACAGGAATACTAAAAGTCAGGGCTAGAAATACATACATTACAAAAATAACTCCAACTGTATTATTATTACATTTTCTTCAACAGATTAATACATTAACTGCTAAAGGTACAAAAGGTAAAGGTAAAGTTGGCCCTGTGATTAAGTAATTAATGACGTATGGGGGAATGAATGTACAGACCCACACTTTCTTGACCTTGGCACTAGTTGGAAGTGAGTGGTCAGCTTCATGCCCCAGCCACTAGATCTAGATAGTGTGGGACTCTCAACGTCTCACAACCCTATGGGCCTTCACGGCCTGGTACAGGGATAGCTTTACTTTATTTGTATTCAGGAAATGCCTGGTTTGTATCTCGGTCAGGACACAAATTATCCTGAACTACAGTTATCTGTGGTTTTACTGAGTTCCTCCAGACAAATGCCTGGACAGTACCTCAAATTAGGTCATAACTGCTTCCCCCATTCCTCTGTCCAATTCACCACCCACTGATCATTCTACCATCTGACATGGTTAGTCTCAGGTGCTGTCATTAAATAAACCATAAATGAGAAAATAAATAAATGTGTTAATGCCTGTATTGACCTCAAAATTCTCTTTCATGCATTTCCAGCCACCATCTTCATCCAATCTTTCTACATGATCTCTTTATTCCCTCTCCTTTTGAAGGTTCTTACATTTCTATTGTTTCTTCTATTTTGCCTATCCAGTTAAGGCTCCTAAGTTCTCACTTCTGCTTATTCCTCTTTTCAATTTCGAGCATGTACTCTTTGACATCAGTATAAATGCAAATTATTCCTCTTATATAAATCTTTGCCTCTTACATTCAAAACATCGTTTGATATCTAAGTTATCACTTTTTTTATTCTTACTGAATGGTGCACACTATGGAATTACACTAGGAGAGTCTGCATAGTACTAGGATCCTTTGGAGACAGGCATGTACTATTTTGGTTCTCACTAATGAAAAAAACAATATACAGATCAGATTTCAATACAGGACAATAAAACGAGACAAACAAATTTTATTAACATCATATACAGTAAGACACACATCTCCAAATTATGTGGATGCAAATGTTGGACATTAATAAAAGGGCAAATGAAAAGAACAAGGATGTCATTCCACAGAGCAGATGGAAGACAGAAAATGTCAGATCACAAACATAAAGAATGAATTAAACAAGGACTTGGAAATGCAGATATCAATACAATAATAAAAAGCAAAAGAGAGGACTACAACATTTGGAAAAAATGCTTGAAAACATAACACAGAATATGCTCTGCCAAAGTAAGGCAAAGGAGCCCCCAAATTAATTATCTTGCAAGCAGAACAGATGAAAGAAGTCTGCGCTGGTGATGATGAAAATCTACAGATTTTTCATATTATTTGTTATGATCACACATTCTATTCACAGTACATGACAATATTAAAAGCAAATTACAATATTCATCTGCATAAATTCAGCATTATATGTGATTATGTTACACTCGCACATAACCATGTGCTAGAACAGCATTTACAGAGTATGGAGGGCTAGCATAATTACATTAGAACCCAGCACTAGAACATACCGTATTTACACATGTATAGGCCGCGTGCGTGTATAGGCTGCAGCACAATTTTCAGACAGAAATTATAGAAAAGATAATTTTCTTGGAATATTATTTCAGGAGTAGAACACCCTGTATTACTAATTATGAATATAATTTTTTTTAAATGAAGTGTGATTTCGAATATTTCGAATATAAGCCGCACCCCAGTTTTCCTCTTGAATTTTTGGCAAAAAATATGCGGCCTATACATGCGTAAATACGGTAGTTCAAACCTTCATATAACAAAGTTATTAGTTGATCAATAACAATGCCTCAACCTCAGTGACTGAACAGGCTGCCTGGCATAATGATAATGCTCTTTATTAACGTTCAGGAGGTGCTAGGTTCAAATCTTGGCAAGGGTAGTGATTGTTCTTACTGAGGTTTTTCTCAGTCCTTCCAGTAAAATGAAGGACAATGTCTTGATTTGCTATGACCACATCCTTCCAAATCCTTTTCAAATCATCAGTCATCTATCACGCTCTATAATCTAGCTAATGGCAGTGTTGCAAAATACCCCAGAAAATAATAAAAATATATATACATGGTTATGAATGGTGGATTTAAAGGCACTGTCATTTGCCTGGAAAGAATTTCAGGAAAATGATGGAAATCAGACAAAGATAAGTTAATGTTCTGGTTAAGATCTGAGAAGTGGTTACTTCTAATTAAAAGTAACATATGATAGGAGTTAAATCTTCTTAATCCTCCAGAGCGGTTCTGAAAATGATGGTGAAAGGAAAAAATCATCTACATATAATCTTATTCATTTGCTCATTCATTGTTTTTTAATGATTTTTTCCATAACATCAAATGACAGGACGAGTGAATAATGAGTTGGAAAGGATGTGGAAAGAAGTGACCATAGCCTAACTGAGGAAATATCATGACATTTACCTGCAGGACCGAGGAAAATGTGATTCAGGATAGTCAGTCTCTGGGTCAGATTTGAATCTGGGAGCACCAGAATATGAAACAGGAGAGTTAACAGTTCAACTGCAATGTCCGGTTTGCCACTAATCAAACCTCAATTACAGAACAAGTCATTGAAGCACTAATTCTTTATCCATGTATTTGGGATACATGCAATTCAAGTCTCTACTGGATTAGAAACAATCTTGATGTTTTCAGTTTTTCTCAATCTCTCCATTCAGACGGTGTGAGACTGCATGTTGAAACAGCCTGCCTACTTCCACAGCTTAAATACCATTCACGGCTATTTTCAGATGCCAATCTACACATATCTTATTCTGCAGTTGAAACAGCAACACAAAAACAATCAAATACCTGAGTACTGCAAAAAAAAAAAAAAGAAAGAAACAGACAAATGGTAAGGATGCCAGAAGTGTTTTCCATTTTCACTTCTTCAATGACTATCTCTACTGAAATTTAACACTTTCACAGCTGTGTCACTGTTTTACTAAGAACGCTGGAAACATAGAATTCAGTTCAATACACTCATCACCTCACCCAATGCCTGTATAATAAACAGGATAGTGTATGCAAGTCTTTAGTTAGAGCAAAAACTAAGCATATGTCACAACATACAGCCTTAAACTATTAGGTCTTATTTTAAATATTTGTCATTACTATCTCTCAATTCAAGGCAGAAATCTCCCACATCATAATTGATTTTTATGTCAATTAAGAATAACCTTGCTCATGTACCTAGTTGCTGGTTCATGTTGAACAAGGCATGAAAGTGTCTTCATAGGTATCACCATACTAATTTATTCATTTAACAATAGCCATACTTCAGTTTACGAGGAGTCATGAAATCTCGCACTATCTGATCTGTAACTTTTGCTCGACATTCCTGATGTGCAGCAATTATAGGCTGAAGAACACTGATAAGCTTCTTTTTGAGTTCTCCAGTAAGCAGCTCTCCACTACTGTAATTCTGTGAAATAAAAAAATATTACAGTGGAATCTCCAGTGACAAAGGGTCATTCTCTTGGGCTATAGTCATGCAAACCATGATTCAAACAAGCTGAACAGCAGAATCTTCTTCACAGTTGTTCCCAACTCTGAAACTGGTTTCTTACCTTACCGAGCCAGCATAACATGAGGTGTTCATCATATATACACAAGTAATTTGTGTAAACTACAATCCTACTGAGAGTCATAGAATAACTTTCCCCTTGAGTTGCTCCACCTCTGATATATATTACACTAAAGCTTATTAGTAAAAAGTCACAGCAAAATTGTCAGCGTCTTACCCATCATCCTCTATCAAGATGTGGTACATAAAACCTGCATAGATGTGTCTGGTGTCAAATGTGCACTGAATAAGAAAGATTATGGATTAAAACAGTGTGTGGATTCATGAAGAATGACCAGAGAATGCTGCTTTCTAGTTGTAATGAGTCATCTTTTACTTTGTAACTGCTTTTTCAGAATGCAACCTTCACTACTCATGACATAATTTTCGTCACACAAAGCCACACTGCCAAAACTAGAAAAAGGCAGTAGTTTCAATTTATTTATGCATTTCTCAGTTTTCACTTCTTAGTAGGAGGAATGCTGCTCGAGTTACCCATAAAATTTATATCACAAAGAAAAGCAATTATTTTTATTCTGTGACTGAAATCAAACAAAAAATTCTGAAGGTGTTCAAGAAAAGAAACTCAGACTTGACACAATAATATAGAAACAGACCTTTTCAATTTGTTTTAGCTCTTCATCATCCTCAAGAAAGAAACGCAGGTATTGATACGAGATGTCCACTTCACAATTTCCTCCCTTTTCTCGATGCTCCTCTATCGTTGCCTGACCTCCAGAGAAGGCATGCTTATTTATCTGTAAACAATGTGAATATATTTCTAGCTTATGCTCCTTATTCCATAAAAAGGTACACTTACAGTATCTTATCTGTATTTGTCCTCCAGCAGCAACTGAGAACCAACTGGCTGATTTTCATTATATAAGAATGTATGTCATGACAGCGAGGGAATGTTCTTACTTTCTAATTTCCTGCTATCAAGAGTACTAACATGACAACCATCCAAACTTAACTGGTGGAAGCAACATACAGATCACTGCTACATGCTCCTAATATCTTCAATGGTGATACAATCTTTGTCAGACATCCCACTTTTGATTATGGTCATTTGGCATAATTTAAAATAACAACCTGGTGATTATGAAAAATGTATTTAAGATTTGAAGTTTTCATGATGGCTCTTCCATGTAAAATGTAGACTTACTCTTGAGATTGAGAAACTATAACACAAAATTTAGTACAATGATAAATTATAAATGTATTCTTAAGTTTTGTATGAATGACTGTTATTGTGGTTATGTGAATAGTATTAGGTGCTAGCACAAACTTAAGACACAGAAACACTGAAACAACAGACCTCTGTACTCATGAACAATGACAGAGGGAAATTCTGGGAGATTATACAAATATAAGACGTTTAGTAATGGTCAGAGATATAGAATGCTAATGAATAGGGTGACCAAAGCTGTGGTCTATTACAAACTCTTTAAGATAACAGATTCACATAAATTGAAGTTGAAGTGATGAAGTAACTTCCTTCAATTTCTGCAGCAAATGTGTTAATGACAAAAAACATATCATCATAATAATTTTAAACAGTCCAATTAAATTATACCTTCAATGAAGGTAGGCATACTGGATTCATGCCTTAAAATGTAAGGTTGTGAATATTTAACATCAGTAATGACTTCCTGCCGCACTATGGCCCTGGGGTTGAATCAGCCTCTAACAGAAATGAGTACCAGGAATTAACTAATTTTCCTGGGGAGTAAAGCGCAGCCGGCGTGTAAGGCTGACAACCTTACCACCATATTTGAGCCGACTGTCTAGATAATGTGGGACCCTCAATGTCTCACAACCCTATGGGCCTTCACGGCCTGTTACAGGGATAGCTTTACTTTTTTTCTTAATGACAGTTAAGTGACAGTGTGTCTTGTTTGTCATCCCTGCAGAGTAGCATATAGAGATATGTTCAGGTAGAGGCCTTGCGACGAGCTGATCACCCGCCCAAGGAGTCATACCGAATGTCTAAGATCTAGAAAAACCGAAGTGAACGGAGAAGTTCATGGAGGTAGGCCTAGGCCCACTGGGGCTGTAGTGCCAAGAAAAAAAAAAAAGTGAAAACAGAATAGCTGTACCACATTCTAACATTCAATTCTGAAAATTGTCTCTCTTTTGTACCTTGTTCTTTATTTGCTTAGGTGTGTCTGTAAGGAAAATCGATGTATTAGAATCACTAGCTGACATCTTGGTCTGAGCTCCCTGCAATGCTGGGAAAAATGAGGAATGAAGAAGGGCCGGCTTATGGTAGCCAAGTCTTGGGGCAACATCGCGTGTCATCCGAAAATATGGATCCTGCAAAATCAAACCAATTTCACATACAGTACTAAGGGCAGTTAACATTAAATTTCTTGAAACTCAATTCAACTGAAGAAGAATTTTTTCATCCTTAAGATCAACAATGGCAAACAATTTTTGTAACATAAAATGTGAACCAAACTAAATACATGTTTGCATTTATTTGTGTTTGAACACCCACATTAATCATTATTTGTGACACATGCATTTCAAAGTCACTGCCATAACTTATATTGTCCAGCCATAGACTTACCTGATCTATAGCACAAGGAATGAGGCAGGGTAAATTTGCTTTTCCAAAGATGAAGGGGAATGAGCTTGAAAAGGAAGGTGCAGCCTGCACTGCTGGAAAGCTTATTTTTCCAATCACATCACTATCACCAAACCCAAATATACCTTTCACTTGATTGTAGGTGACACATTTACCTATTTTAATCATGTTTCGGTAAAAGTCTGGACACTGTCTGGAAGAAATAAGGAACATATATCTATGAGATACAGAATTGATGTACAAAATTATGAAATGAAGCCCAAATCAACCTCATAAGGATCATACTGGAACTGCTCTAGAAAACAAAAGCAGTTGCACGACACATTAATTAACATTTTAAATAAACTTTATGTTATTGGTAATCAATCAAAAATGATCTGGTTAATAAATATTTTTCAATGAAGAAATATGCAATGGACAATTAAATGAATGGCAAACACGCATTCAAACTGAAGCTACATAATACATAAACTTAATGGTCCAATAACATTGTCTTGTGGTAGTGACTAGGCATGGTGTTTGGATTGGTAATAGGATTTATTGAATGCTTATAACCTATAATTACAAATAACTATAAAAGTCTCACTAATTTACAAGCTATAGATCACTTTAACTACAGCACAAATATATATAAATAGCTGTAAGTCACACTAATTCACGCACTCTACATGACCACAACTACAGCACACATAGTCTTGTTTGTTCACTAGTCATTGCTAGGTAATGGCTGCTAACAATGCAACTAGAGACTGTTAACTACCGACTCCAACCTGATTCAAGACTGACTAACTCAGAGTCTGAGTTACTTTACGACTGGGGGTTTATCATCAATCAGTTAGTCTTGGCATTTCAAAACCCTTGTGGTCATAGTCCCTGTGTAACATCCATTCTGATGAGAGGATTTTTTTTTTCATATGAATATGCTTTGCCTTTGTCAAGTGTAAATATTGCACATATTGATTGATACTGAAAATTCTTTCCTCTATAATATATACAACTATTCTGTATTCCAGGCTTTGCAAAGCAGATCATGCCTATTTTATTTATCTTATGCTACAATGGTAGCTTAGTCACTTGAATGGTCATAAGCTTAACCGCTGCAAAGTATGAACGTCTTATATTTTCCATGTCTGGCTTTGCCTTGTCCTATGCTGCACACATGAGCATTCTCATGATTTTATATGTCCTCTGCTTTTTGCCTGTTGGGTCTCCTTACACAGCCTCAGTATGGACTGAACAGAGACCATCACTTCCAAGAATTCCTCCATGGTTGAATTATGTACTATGTGAGCTGCTGCCTAGTGATGGCCCCTATATTTCTGATGCGGGAATACTTTGGTTACCATGGAAGTGTGTTTACCAGCCACGGCTTAGCAATAAACGCCTTCCTGGGACTACTACTTCGACTTTCAGCCGTCATGTCACGATATATATTCACATGCTTGTTAGTCTCATCAATTCAAGAACCAGGTAGAAATTAAACTTCAGTCCAGGATTTGCATCCAGATGTGGTAAGATAGTAAACAGGAAACAAATCATGCATCTTCTGCCACTAAAATTGATTCAATATAATTTATACTGAGCTGGTATAAAGGTTAACGGTAGGATTTTCATCTGGGAAACAAGCCACACAAACAATAGAGAATCAAAGGTACACTGTATTATTATGAAAACTGATATAACTTCTCTGCAGTGAATGGTATATAACTTTAATTTCTGTTAACTAATTAAACTTTGTATCATGTACTCCACCCAGAAGAGCCACATTACTATGTCTAGTATACAGTTTAACTTTACATAAGGCATTTAATTCAGTTAATTTAGGTAATTTGAGTGAAAGTGTATTAATTTTAAGTTTTTATAGTAATGTTCTTTTTCAATTATGTTTATTAATTATAATTGTAATAAGTTTTTTCTGCTCTATTATCTATGTTGGTTGACTAGTGTGTGTGATTTTGGTTGTGACTTATGTAATTTATTATATGTATACATCTATTATCAAAGGGGCTATTTCCACATCCTAGGTTTTTTGCCTGTATGCATATATGGAAAATAAAGGGAATGAATGAATGAAGCTACAGAAAATGTATATAGCAGCAGTAATAATTTAACATTCTGAAACTGAAACCTGACTTACCCAATAAAATCAAAATCACAGAAGATGAATGTTTTCTCAATATCAAATCCACATGCAATAATGTCTTTGGCATTTTCAAAGGCTAACTGATTTGCTTCATCTACTTGCAAGTCTTTCCACAAGAACTTTTCATCATCTGTTAACTGAATCACAAGAGGAACATCAAACACATCTTGCAGCCATCTGAAAGAAGCATGGAGGTATTAGCCAGGTGGAGGGAAATGGAATCATCATGAGCAAGAGCCATATCTCTGCTCAAATTTATGACAAAAATACTCAAATAGTTATCTGTAATTTTACCTGTATGGTTGTCATACCTGTAAGAAATTGTATTCATATAAATCTTACACTTGTAGTATATCAGTGGCAATGCAGAATTAAATTACTATAAGCTGATAACTTACTTGGTTATAATAAAAGGAATGAGATGTCCAACATGCATTGAACTAGATGAAGGACCACGTCCTGTATATAAATAGAATGGCTTCCCCTGTTCATACATTGTCAAAATTTGATGCATGTCTCGATGCGAGAAAAATATTCCACGTCGTAACAGATGATGAACAGGATGGCCTGTCACCTTCTCAAATCTATCCAACAGCTCATCATCAATCTTTGAACTACCAAACCTTTCTGAAATCAAGATGTATAAAGTATTGTTTACAATAATAAAATGATCTATACAGATAAAATGAAGCATGTTTCTGGGAAAACAGCATTTCTTATGTCAGCGTACACCACATCTGCCATATGAATTTTCTTCAGTTTCATATTGGTTCTTCAGACTCCTCTCTATATGTGGTAATAGCCATGTTCTTCAAATTATAATAAAAACATTTAAAATAAAATTTATGTGAAGTCTCAATGTACATGGCCCCTATTATGCAAAACTCTTACAAATATTATTATGTTTTATAGAAAACTCCTTTTCAAATACAGCTCAAGTATATTTTTGTGGTCTAAAGAAACAAATGCTAAAAATTTCCAAATAAAAAAAAACTATGTTCATTTTAGAATCCACTTCAGGTTGGTTTCCTACACAATAAAAGGCTAAACAATGAGTTTCCGCTTTCCATTTTTGAGTCTATAAATACTTCCATTTTCAGTGTAGAATGATATCAAGTAAGTGTGCACAGCAGTGCAGTACCCGTAATCAAAACAATATGCTCTGGGTAGAAATAGTCAGAGTTGGAGTTACTTTATGATTGGCCGATTACGCCAATTAGTTCATCTTGGTGACAAGCCCCTTGAGACTTACGACCAATAATTTTATTTTCCAACTGAACACTTATGGTTATAGTCTTCATGTAACATCCTCTTTGACAAGAGGATGTGTCTGTCATTTATAATTGCTGCTGGCCCTCACCAGCACAGTCATTCTCAGGTCTGAGTCCCGCAGAACTCATGACCACATTTTACTGTCTCAGATTCAAGACTCCCTCAACCCGAAGAGCCAGGTTCCCGTACTTCTATCCCCAGGACCAGGTTAGGCCAGTTATACCCCTAGGGACTGGGTTCCCTTTACGTTGCCTCCAACAACTTGCAGGGCTACAGTGGAGGTATTTGACACCACCTCCACATGGAATGGGAAGAACTAATCGCCTACTTTCCTTTTATAACAGACAGCATAGAAAATGATACCCAACACAATACTTCTATTGTTGCCTGCGTATTCATTGCCGTGATAACATTTTTACCGAACCATTACCTAGCACCAATAGAGGTGACACACAGACTGATGGCACAGATTTATGAAGAACACTGTTGAGTTGGGCTCAGGTGCCATGCCTGATACCGACATCAAGTTTTGTAAGGACTGGTTCAGGCATTCAAAAGCTGCTGCGGGAGATACACAAACACCCAGACAGAATGGAGATTGCATAAGTGTACTTTTATTTTCTAGCCTACCTTAGTTTGAGCAAAAAATAAAAGTAGTCTTATAAGATCACCATGTTGTTTATACCTCTGTGTATCCCCCCTATTAACTTTTGAATGCCTGAATTAATTTTTATGAAACTTGGTATTTATATCAAGACTCCTGAGCCCATCTAAACAGTGTATGTCATAAATCCCTCCCATCAGTCTGTGCGTCTGTATGTGTATTTGCGTCGATGCCAGGCAACAGCTGGGTAAAAACGTTATCGCGGCAACTAATACACAAGCAACAATAGAAGAATCGTTGGACGCGTCGTTTTGTATGCAGTACCTGTCATATCAAAGAAAAACGGGGGTTCACATCTCCCAGAAATTCTTCTTTAAATAAGGGGTAGGCTATAAATAATTTACAACAGTCTGGCAGGCACGCTCACAAAGATGAAAAATAAACTCCCTACATGTAAATCCAAAAGGTAATCGGAAATTGAATTTCACATAATCTAACTTGCATATTTGTCCAGTTTCATGAACTGAAATGAAGAGTGACCTTTATGTCTAGCCGTAAGAGTTGCCATTCCCGAACTCACATAAAGGGGATTTAGAATTACTTTCAGCTTGTACATGCCCTACTAATATACTTACTTATTAATTTGTCATAATCTATTCCAGTTTCTGATTTGCTAACCACATTCCAGGGATTGACTACATCTGATTCATCTTCACAATTAACATTTGAGTTATTAATATCCACATGTTTAATTGCTGTTACAATTTCATTCGCCATATTCTCAGGAGCTAATCAACTGTCTACACAATAAAACCGTATAAAACTGTCACCGTCCGTCACAAACTTCCATTGGCATGCACCATATTTTTCTCCCACGCATCCCTCCAAACCCGGAAACTCTTCGACAACATAGCCGCGGTGACGTCACGATATATTACTGCTGCCATCTCTACGCAGATTTCCACTAACTAAATATGAAACGGCCACCAGCATCGACAGCATGACCCATAAAATAGAATGCTACTATACCACCCCATATTCTCCTCAAAACTGTTCTCAAATACCCTCGGTCTATTTTCCTCCCTTAATGTCAGAGACTAAGTTTCACATCCATACAGAACCATAGGCAAAATTATGGTTTTGTATATTCTAAATTTTATGTTTTTGGACAGCAGGCGAGAATACAAAATGTTCTGGACTGAATGGTAGCAAGCATTAACAGAGTTAATTCTCCTCTTAATTTCCTCCTCAATCCGGTTTTGATTTGTTATCGTCGTTTCAATATATCTGAACTGTGCCACATTTTCAAAACATCTGTTTCCTATCATTATGTCATGATTTTGCCCTGCATTTTGGTGACAAGACAGCCATTAAATATGAGGTGTCAAATCAACCAAACCACTGTGATTGTTTGCAGCTGTTAACAATTCACTTAGACCCAAACGAAATACTGAACTTCAACTGACTGGACTGTTACTTAATCTAAATTGTCAGTGACAGATAGTGACGTGTGTCAGTTTAAGTTGTTCAAATAAACTTGGGTGTGATATTGCCACTAACGCTTATTGTTACTTAACCATTAAAGATATTCCGATTTTAAACATTCAGAATTCATACAGATATATATATATATATACACACACATACCTTTAAAGTAATTCTAACATGGTGCATTACACATTATATAAAAGCAACCATGTGCAACCCACATAACAAAGAGTCCTGTACTACCACAACCTGTCACATCAGATATTAAACCCTCTTCTGTCTCTTTCCTTGACCAAAACCATATGCTATAGAGTGCGTGATGATAAGTACGTTGACATCATTCAGTGTTCATGAACCAGTCAAAATTCTCTTTATGCTGCTGAGTGATAGAGGTGGTCATTTACAAATATGAATGCAATACAGAGATGCTAAAAAGGAGGTATTAATAAAAATTTCCCTTACCAAACACAATTCCAATAGCACTAACTAACATTAACAATGGAGAATCTGCTGCTGCACACTTGGTGACCAAGTTTCCCTCATATGCCATGATCCCTTCTGATCTATACACACAGTGTGTTTTCGTATGCAGTGAAAACAACATTGGACTAGAACTACCAATTATATCCTGGTTTTTCTAGGAAGTGAAGGGTTGTGGGGGGTCTCCAACATAAAAGCTATCATGATAACAGGTAGGTAATTTGTCATGATAAATGTTTGGTTGAATTATATTACTGGAAACACCACACAAAATTTTCCATGCATTCAGAAGCACAAAACAAAGAAGACTAAAAAAAAAGTAACGCTATCCCTGTTAACAGGCCGTGAAGGCCCATAGGGTTGTGAGACAAAACATTTCCAGAGATGGCTCTGTTCCTGGCTTCAGCTGACTTGTAAAATTGCATTTTAAGTTCTCGAAGGAGTGACTATGAAGACTATGATCTTCTTGGATGTGACTGCATGTAATCTGGCAGAAATTCACTGGCATTCCAGTGGAACATACTCTCTATCTTCAGGGTCAAAGAGAAATCCTGCTTGCTCCACTTGCTCTTTGGCCCTGCAGATGTATGCAGTTGGGGACTTCTACAGGACTACATTATGACATCATACCCCAGAAATCAGTACTCTTTATTACTATAAACTTGTCTGTTGAACAGCAGTTTTCAAGAAAATGTTTTGAAGTGACATCCACATACACACAGGCAGCAAGAAACTGCTCTGGTAATAATTTTAAAAACGTTTTGGTGTGGGCAAGCTGGGGTAGCATAGTCAGTTTAGCGACTGCCTACAAGCTGGACAACCAAGGGATTGTCAGAATTTTCTCTTCTCCATATCATCCAGACCAGCTCTAGGGCCCACCCAGCCTCCTATCTAATGGGTAATAGGGGCTCTTTCCCCAGGGTAAAGCAGCAGGGGCGTGAAGCTCACCACTCACCTCCAGCTATGGCCGAGGTCAAGAAAATGTGGATCTATACATCCATTCCCCCATATGCCTTCATGGCTCAGTGCCTAATTAGTTGAGCACAGGGACAACTTTATCTTTAGTGTGGGCATTCTAAACTTTATGAAAACCCTCAAACAATGGGCACATAAATATCTGGGTACTGTGCATACATGTGTTTGGGGGGGGGCACGTGAACTCAAATCATAGTGAAGCCTTAGATAGTGTTGTGCTATTCATGAAAATATCTTAGTAAACAGTGTACAGTGAAACTGCCTTTCAGGGTTTCTTTAGAGAGCAGTGCATCTGAACACTAAACCTAGGAAAATCTCAGATGGAGCAAGTAAAGGCCAAGTTTATGTGGGATCAATGAAATTGACCATTATATGAGGGAAAATTTTAAATGAAGAAACGTTAAATGGAAGCTTCATTGTGCTTCCTTCTTTTATTACCCGTTAATACCATGGGGGGGGGGCTTTATCACTTTCCTTATTACAGTTAACATTTTAGCTGGCCTTCTTTATTTTATAATGAAAGATATTAATATTATTGTATACCACACATCGTATTTTCACTTACTGTTGTTAACTTCCAACCTAACAGACTTTCATAAAACTTGGTGTGAACAGCATTAAACCAGAGGCCACCTATCTTGATAACTTTTAGCAGCACGGTACCTGTATGAATCTATGAGATGTGAATAGCACTAAAGCCACTAATTAGGATCCTAAAGCTGTGTGGTTACAGATCTTTGACACATGTACATTTCTTAATTCTTTACTAAGATATAAAACAATATGGTGGACTTCAAAATAACATCTTTGTCTAATGATAATAACTAACAATCATTGGAGCTAGGCATGCAAAATATTGGCAGTTGACCACAAACATGCCTACAAATTCTCTATGAAATATTTCTAATATATCTACTATAAACACAAATACAGTACGAAGCTACAAGGTTACTTCTGGCAAATTAATGTATCTGGGATCTGTATCAATGGAAACTATGCACAGGAAATTTTCAATATTAAATATTTCTAATATATCTACTATAAACACAAATACAGTACGAAGCTACAAGGTTACTTCTGGCAAATTAATGTATCTGGGATCTGTATCAATGGAAACTATGCACAGGAAATTTTCACTGACTTATGTTGTTATTAATTTGCCATGGGCTCCAGTTCAAGCCAATCACATCATAAAATACTGATAAAAATATAAAATACAGGTATCAACAATCTCTTCTAAATACGCATTTTTCATTGAAATAACAAGAGCTGATGACAGATTATTGTCGGCAGATATCCACCTACCACAGAATTAGTACTACCTGCAACCGGTGACTGCTAAGCACTGTGTTACCATAATCTCACAAGTGCCATAATGATTTTAATGGATATTGAGTTAATTTCTGCTAGCCTAACCTTACTGACTGATGCATTGGAAGAAAAATTTATATTTTGTTTCTCAAAACTTCTATGGAAAATAAAAGATTTAAATGCCTCATGCTTAAGAGATGCCTAGCAACTCCAATAACATAGCAAAGATTATGAGAGGATGTTGTCAATTGGGAAGAAAAAATTGTGGGCTATTGCAAAATACTATAGCAGCATAGGGTGACCACATTTTGTAACTGTAAACTGAAAAGCCTACTGACTGACCTAATAGTGAAGTACTACCTAATTCTACAGCTGCTATCTGCTCATGTACTGCAATATCTCAGAATTCAGAGCCATTAATATGACCTTACATTTAAATTACAAAGATGCTCTGAAGGCATTTTCAGAAGGAAATGGGACAAACTAGTTTTTCAATTAAAAACTGATAAAATGACACAGTGATTCTAATTTTGTAGGGTTATGGCCTTTTAAAGAAGGACAAATTACTTATCTTAGCACCCAAATGGAGAGTCTGAAAATTATCACTTGATATTTGACTTCATATCAAATCTATCTGGTTCTATTTCCTTGGAACCCAATTAGCATGACACTGAAACATGCTATATGTATCCTACATCTGAGTAGCATATGCCTGAGTGCCCATCTGTAAGTCTTCAAAAATAACGCCATGTCATATTTCCCATATTTACACATTCATTTGCCATCCCAAAGCTCCTGTAAGAGAGGACTCCTTATTCTTATCAACTATTAACATGTCAACAATGAGAAAAATAAAAGATATTTTTATATACTGGTGATGGAATGTGACATTACAAATACAAAAATCAATAAGTATATGAAGTAAAATCTAATATCACACCAACTGTTTTCAAAAGTTCAAAGTTTTGCACTGTTGTCATGTTTTAATTGCAGCCTTATAATACAGTATGTGCCAAAATTTACAGTACTGAAATGAAAAGACGAAGGCCCCTTGCATGACAGAACCTTCTTAAATCCTGAAGAAATGGTCTGATCACCACGTCCCTGTAGCATTCTTGGGTGACGGTAAGAGAATTGCCTTCCTCAACCTCGATGAAATAGGGGCCTAACCTACCGTGTGCTGAGACGGCACACCATATCATCACACGTGTACTATGTAGCGGTTATAGTTACTTGTCGATCAGACTTCCCCTTCCGTTGACACGTTACACTACCAGAACGGCAATATTTCGTAACAAAGGACAGCATAACTGTGTTACTTGGTGCCATCTTATTAAATTTCTCTTGGAATTGTTCTGTCACCTTTTTCAAACTCACGTCCCACCTCACGACCAATTCCATATGAGCGGAAATAATACTCAACTATGAATACTTTTTCCTCCATCGAGACCCATTTCCAACAACTTCACAACTTCCTTTTCACTACTGGGAACACATGCAGTTGGAGCTATGCCCCTTCGACAAACGCACATGTGCATTCGAGATGCACGAGTTTCAGTACTGCATTTTTTGGCGCATACTGTATATACATGCACACCCCACCCACAAGACAAACACAACAGTCTATTATAAAACCAGGAAGATAACACAGCTCACTGCTTGCTTTGGTTCATCTGATTGGAATGATGGAAACAACAAACTCAGGAAAAACAGCAATAACTGAAAACAAATTGGGAAGTGACATCACTTCTTCACATCTTGCTTTCAGTTCTAGTGTAGCTGCATTGGTGTTGCTAAGGAAATGACGACTTTTGCATATCTGTGCTGTTTCACATTTACAAACACACGTTACACTCTTATTCATACATAGCCACATGCAAACTAACAACTTTTAGTAATTTAATTACAACTAATATTATCAAAATATGGCATTTCTCTGAAACAATACTTATTTAATCATTCTTTCTACAATACTTTATTAAATGAATTGTAGAGGGCTTCACCTTTATCATAACTTTGAGATTCACAAAGTCTTAATCTGGCCCAGCAACAGTAACAGCCAATTATGGAAGCAGAAGAGAATCCCAGCTTGAATTTCTCCTCTCCTCACTTTCATGTCACATTCAAAAGTGTGCATTGTTAGTCAGATAGGAACACAATCTTTTGGTAATTCAAGACTAGATGCAAACACAATTAACCTCTAAGCAGTAGTTGCCAAACAAGTTACAGAGCTAATTATGAAATATACTTGTAATCACAGCTTTTTTTTCCCTTGGCACTACAGCCTCAGTGGGCCTAGGCCTACCTCCATGAACTTCTCCGTTCACTTCGGTTTTTCTAGATCTTACACATTTGGTAGGACTCCTTGGGCGGGCAATCAGCTCGTCGCAAGGCCTCTACCTGTACACAAAAACGAAAAACACACATACACAAACTAAACATCCATGCCCTGAGTGGGATCTGAACCCACGATCCAAGTGAGCGAAGACAGTACATGCCTTAGACCGCTCGGGTAATCACAGCTCACCAAAACAAATTCTTGTTACCACTGCTTTCACTAAAGGTCAAGATAACACAGAAACAACTACGGCAAACATTAATTTACAAGGTATACATGGAATTCTAAGTCACCTACAATGTTTGCAATAATCCAGTGTGTTCAGGAAGTCATTCTGCATTTTAGGAGGTGATATTTTCTTACATACATTATAAAACCCACTTGAATATTAATTCAAAAAGATTCTTTATGTAAATTTCCATATGCTCCCTTTTGTTGCATAACACATGTCACTCATAACTGATGTCAACCTATACACACCACAGTGTCAGAGTTCATGATGAAATATGAGGGAGATTCAGGTAATAGGTCACATATGGAAGTAAAACAGCTGTAATGGATGTAATAGGTTTTTTGTTTATCACTAGGCAGCAGCACAGTCCAGCTTCATGACAGTCTAGGAAGCAGATAAGCATGCACATGTTTTGAGGCTTGTTTCAGTAGTCAAATGGCAACCATACTTGAAGAGTATAATACCAAAGAGTAGAGTTCTGTTGTGCATTTTCTTTGTGGCAAAAAGGACTCAATGCCAAGAATATTCATATAGAAATGTGGGAAGTGTTTGTCATGTAAAGTGCTTCACAACTGGGTCAAGATGGGTGCTTGACACAAAGACAGACTGGCTGACTAACCATTAGTCATAATATGACTTTGACTTGAAGCCAGTTACTTGGGAGTTGACACGAGGACCAGTTCTGAGATTGTAGACAGCCAGCAATGATGAAAGCAGAAGACAGAGCTGGGAACTGCTGCCAAGCAACAACCAGTCATGATGCAGCAGACTGAGAAGACTTTGTATGTGGTACAGTGATTTGTTAAGCAATAACATCATAATTATTTGTAGATGCAAGTTATAAGTGTTCAATAAATCAAATTATCAACCCAAACCCCATGTCTAGTCGATAATAAGTGAAAATACTTTTGTTTTGTTTGTTTCAGTTAAGTAAAGTATTTTCATAACATTTCTGCATGGTGCCAATTTTGAACTACGAGTATAATACCCTTCTAGGTACCCACAGCCAAGAAAGGTTGGCAGCTCCTGGTATACATTCTCAATATGAAATACATATAATACACCATAATAAGGAAAATGATGGATAGGTACCATTATTCTGAAGGCTATGTTCTGCCCATTCCACTGAATCAATGTATATTGAAATGGGCTGACAAATTACTGTCGGATGATGCTCAGTCTTCCTAATGTAAAGTTGCTCTAATCCAGAGAATAAAGACTTAATATTTATATTAATATGTACATCAATTTAACTTTTATACATGATTTACAAAAGTGCAAATGTAATTATTTTGCACCTTTTTGACTCCAATAAAATAGTTTTCTTGCCAATGCAAGCACAATTCATTCCTGCAGTGTGTCGGCCTCATCCTTGGTGAACTGAGAACTAACCCACGCAAGCCCCCACTTGAGGTTTGTCAGGAGGAATTTAAGAGCTTTAGTCCACTGTTCCTCTGAATTGAACTGGATCCTGCAACAAAATCATGTAGATAAATGTGTTTCTAACAAAGTTTCTTTGAAGCTGAGACAATATTAATAATGGCAAAATAATGCAATGTTATGTAACATAAACGTAAAGGCAGTACATGAAGAACTTTTTCATTTTCTTTTATGCTCTTCATTTAATACACACAAGATTAATAGAGTGATACAGTATCAGTCATCCATCTTTTGCTAATAATGTCTAAGTTTTGTTACTGTCTCGTCAAACATAAGTTTCTTCAGTACAAATAACATGTTTCTGGACATTATCCATTGTGCTATTTTTATCTAAAACACCGCCATGTTTATATTTCACAACACAACATTTCAAAAACTTGGTTCTCTCTCCATCTCCAGTTAGGGACTAGCTCTATCTATTGGGCCCAACTGAGTAGGTTTTACCTGAAGGCAAAGACAGAAACCAATCTCCAAAATGTTATGTTTTGGAAAATAAACAGGACAGTTTTTAGATAAAGACAAGACAATGGATAATGTCCAGAAACATAATGTTTGTATTAATGTAGCTTCATCACAAACTTTAGATATTATAAGTTTCTTTACTTTTAAGTGCCATAATTCTGCTGCATGATGAAATATTTTGAATTAAGAACTCAATCACCTTTCCTAAGGATTTAATCTAGCTTATACTTCTTAAAATTGGTGTCATCTCTGCTCCCAATCACCAAGTCCCTAAGTAAATATTGCTTACTTGATAGAGTAGGAATTTCCAGTGGCAGAATCTTCAATTTTTCCCCTTTCCATGCGATATGGAAGACAGAATCCTGAGTCACCCTTTTCTACTTCTTCTTTAAATTGCTGCAGACAGTCAAGGAATGCAACCATGGCTGCATCAAATTTTGTGTCCCACAGAAACCGGAAACCACCAGAGCCATACAGTGGTAATTCACGGTGTTCAGCTAACACCTAATAACAAATTTGAACTCAAATATCTTACAAACATACAAAGAAGAAGTTATTATAATTATGAAATTAATATAATTCAGGAGATATTTGCAAAAATGACACTCTGCAATTCTTTAACATTTATCATAAGTGATGTATTGCAGTGCTCTTGCATGGGTCCTGCAGGACTTAACAGGCCACCAAGTTAAAATATGGCAGCCAGTGCCACACATATACATTTGCGTCTAAAAATATTCATAAATGTGCCACCAGCACCAAATATAAAACATGTCAACAAGCAAACAAAACACTGGACACTTATACATTCACAAATAAAATCACTAGCATATATAATCCATACTTGTCAAAAACACATACAATAGTTAAAAGGCAATACAAATTGCAGCAAGTATATATAAGCACAACCAAGGACATAGTGTTTAGTGAAGTGTGCACTGTCAGACACCTCTTTTCCTTAGCTGTAAGTCTTGACAGAAATGCAAGAATTCCTCAACAGTATAAGAAGGTTTTTGAAGCAATACATCCTTTAGTTTCCCAATAAACTGTTTTTTTATTATATACTAACTCAATTAAAAAATCAGGCAAACTATTAAAAACTTTTACACTCATGCAATAGACCCCTTTTTGCCCCTTTGTTAGATGTGACTGAGGAACATGTAGGTTTCTAACTTGTCTTGTTGATTTACCATGAATTGTATGATTAAAAGTATAATGCCCCAAATTGTTTATCATTAGTATCATTAAAGATAAAATATATTGAGAAGCCAATGTCAGAATTTTTAATTTTTTAAAAACTGTTCTACATGATTCTCTGGGTTTCATTCCCATTATTATCCTGATGGCCTTCTTTTGTAAAAGAAAAATCTTCTTAGCCTCCAATGAGTTTCCCCAAAATACTATCCCATATCTCATAATTGAATGAAAGTATGCATGGTAAATCATCCTTAGTGTTTCAATATTGCTATACAATTTCATGTTTCTTATTGCAAAGCATGCCTTGCTCAATCTAGCCAGACTGACAGAGGGATCTTTAAATCTCCTATTTCTGGATGATGAAGGTTAATAATATAACAAATTCTGATGTACAGGATATCAAACAGTAGGTTATTTAGACTTAATGATACTGATGATTAATAAGAATTTTACAATTTGTTGCTCCATATTGTATGGCAAGTTCGCTTGTTTACATCACTTAGAATATTCAGTGTCCTTGTCTGCTGTGCAACTTACGCAAAGACTACACAGGTTTGTGCTGTGCACTAAACAGCAGACAAGCATACAACATTTTACCTCTATTTTTTGGGCTGTTTCTAAAGATGGAGTTCTGCTTCTTGTGCATTTTATATAATGTGAGGCATCCTTTACCTTTGGAAAGTTTAAACAGCACTGGAGATACCACAAACATTCACTCCCCTTGTAACAGACTACCTGTCAGTGTGTCATAAAACCGTTAGAAAACTGGGAATTTGGTCTCTGCACTGCCTACATTCATACCTGATTGTAGTCATACCTCAATATATGAGTGATTTCCATATGGTACAAGACGGAATCGTTGAAAGGTCAGATTCATTTTGCGGGCAAGAGCAGTGAGGAGGAGAGCTGTCTGACCCCAAGCTGCATTAATTTCGCTCCAATCTACCGGCGCACTTGGAAGACGACCTAGGCGGAAATTATTGATAGTACCAAAATGGCCACTGTGCCAGATGTGGAATGTTGCATTGAAAACATTTGTCTTCTTCAGCTTTTCCAGTTGAGTTTGGGCATAATGAAACTGGCATTTTAAACTGTAAATAAATATAACATTTCATGTCACAATAAGGTGATCATCTAATCAACCCCTTAACATTTCTTTCAATGACATCCTGCCTGCCCTTGTAGCTACCTTTAAAGGTGAGGAAGCCCTGCTGTTACAGTTATGTATAGACCTTCTCTGACATATACTGACAAATAAAAATACATTATTTGGTGAAAGGTAGTGCACGGTACAGCATGAGGCTGACACCTGTTAATGACAACCCAAGATATTAGCAGATCATTACAAACTTCAGAATGTCTATGAGACGTGGTACAGCCATTTGGATGCAGCAACCATATCTCAGTGATGATAACAGTTAACAATGGATTAGACACAATGCCAAAAATGATATATTTTTTTGAACTTGTGAAGATATTTTTTTTATATCTGTTTCATGTGCTTATTCCATAAAATATGTTTACATTAGTAACAAACAGGAGTAATCACTGGAATCTACTTTTCAGAAAACATAACTAATAAACTAATTCCTTCTTTTGAACAGGAAGTGTTGAAGAAATTTTCTGTTGTTGCACAACATTTTTCACTACCACCACAAAGACTATCACTTCTGGCTCTCTCAAAAACCTGATCCCACAAAAGCTTGTGAGGAAACTGTTATAAATATTTCATCAATTCACTGCAAGAAACATACTACATTTGGACAAATTTTGTACGAACGGAGTCTAACAACAAATAAACCTAATTACTCAGTGTTGTTCAATGTACTCAGTATGGTGGTAACACTGCTAACTTAAAAAATTCTTTACTTGACTACTTTTTAAGATATTCCATATAAGTTTGGTAAGCTGCAAAAGAAGGTCTGAACCTCCTCTTCTATTCTGTATGATTGCTAATTGCAGTATAGAAAATTAAATAAATATGTTCTATATTCTTTTCTGACCTAATGAGTTCATCTTCAGTTAGCATCTGTTCTCGCCGATGTCTGGTGTATTCACGCAAGTAACGATCTTCCTCACCATCCAACCTTTCATGTTCTGCTTTTTGTTCTTCAATAGCTTTCTTGGCAGCAAGTTCTGCCTCTTGAAGCGCTGCCAACTCCTGCAGAAGATGCTGCTCCTCTGCTCTCAACTGTAAGGAACATCACCGTTTCATGTTAACACATGTTTGCAAAACAGAAGGAAATACTAAATGGGGAAAACTGTCAAGAGAGTCCCACCATACGAGTGTAAAGTTGCTCCTGTGCTTAACTAATTAAGCACTATGCCATGAATGCGTATTGGGGAGTGGATGTATAGATCCACATTCTCTTGAGCTCAGCACTAGATGGTGAGTGGTCAGCTTCATGCCCCGGCCACTTTACCCGTGGGGAAAGAGCCCCTGGTACCTGCTGGATAGGAAGCTGGATGGGCCCCAGAGCCGGTCTGGACAATGTGGAGAAGAGAAAATTCTTGACGCTACCAGGACTTGAACTCTGACCCCTTGGTTGTCCAGCCTGTAACCAGTCACTATACCGACTATGCTATCCCAGCTCATGACTATAACAGCGTGGTACAATTTTATTTTGCTAAACAATCACTACAAACTCAGAAAATGCTTATTACTTTATTTGTATACTATTTACCTTTATGGGCAATAACAACTCATCTTACATATTAATTTTTAATTTCAATATTCAGTCACATTTATCTGTCTCTCTCTACTCAGACATTTAATCAGAATTTATCTGAAATGAATACAGCAACATGTCTATGCAGATGTTATGGGAAAATACCGAACTGGGCTATTCAAGCATCATACTCAAGCTTTAAAGGATCATTTCTAAAGTAACCATTTAGGGTCAAGGGTTAATGGATGTCATACAGCTGTAACTTTAAATCTGGGATTTATCAAATACTGCTGCTTAGTCCACTACATTCAGAAACATATGTTTGGTGAAAATAATTACACAGTTAAAAATATTCTCCAATTGGATTCCTACTCAGTGGTCTGTCAGCTCCTCAAAAGCAGTAGTTTGTACAAGAGAATGTACAGACACTACACAATTCTGTGCAGAAACACGTAGATTTACATTACAGTTATTCCAACTAACCTCTCCTATTATAGAAGGTTAATTAACTCCGTCCAGTGAGACTGATAAAATGTTTTTTCTCCTTTTTAATCTTATATCCTTGACATGTTTCGGTCTTGTAGACCATCTTCAGAAGGATATCAATACAATTAGAAACCACTAGTACAATGTGTTTAGTGAATATTAATATGCCGTATCTCCTGAGTTCAAGGAATGGTAGAGCAGTAGCCAAGAAGGAGCTGTAGTTGCGTTGTTTGGTGGATGGAGATGACTGTTAAAAAGAGCTTGCTTAAAACAAGACATTTATTATACACGTTTTGCTTATGTACAGACTAGAGGACAGGAATAACACCTAAGGCCAATGGCGAGTGACTGGTCAGAGAGCTCCTTTACAACTGTATTAACTCGGTTTTTATACCGGTCTTTGGGGTAATTTCTCCTGGAAAATTCCGCTAGCCTTTCCCCTTGTGGTGACACCGATCAAGCTCGAGGATGTTCCATGGATCTTGACGTAATTGTACATTGGTCTTTCTCTTGGACTTTTACCAATGTATGGTAGTATGTTTTCAAATATAAGAACGTTCTACTTTAGTCTTTGCCCTCGGGCTATAGGACAAATAACTTTAGAAACTTTACAAATAACATCTGTGAAAGTCCAGATTACAATATTTCCTTGTAGTACAGTCCTTGTCATAAGTTTGATATTTTATTCATAAATCATCATAGTTGCTTATTCCACATCACCAGGTTACTATCAGCATACACAACAAATATATACATACAATTTTATCATAATACATTGAATACAAAATCTAATGTTTTAACAACACTGGCATGTACTAATACATTAAAATATTTATAAATTACAATTAGTCTGTTTTAAAAAGATGGTTTATAAGACAGAAACATGTCAAGGATAAAAGATTTTATCAGTCACACTGGATGGAGTTAATTAATCTTTTATAATATTGCTAGTGTGACAGACCAGGATGACCAAATCAAACTAACCTCTCCTAATTCTTTCTCCAAGGATTCTATACATTGATCTTCATCTTCAGCCTCTAATCTGCAAAATAAGAAACATACTACATAAAAATAATTACAGTACAAATGAATCCCTTCGTTTAGATTACATTTTGGGTTGTAATTTCGAATAATTTAAACTAAGAGAAAAAACATATCTTGAAGTGAGCACAGAAGCTGCAGAATCTCCATGGTCTGAAACTGTAACCTAACAATAACTAGTGAAAACTGTAATCAAGCTATGACTACCAAAAATGTAACAGACTGAGGCCTTGCATGTGAAGTAGTGATCTGTTAAGTGTGTAGATTGGCGATTGTGTTGTAACTATTTGTAATAATGAGTTAAAAGTGTTCAATAAATCCAATTACAAGTCCACACTGCATGTCTACTTACTATCACGTGACAATATTTTGTCTGATGCATCTACTGTACAACTCTCATTGATAACATTTGTTGTTAATAATTGTGATAAGTTTCAGACCAATAACTCAGTATATATGATTAGTAGAAGAAGGAATGACCACCTTCATATACCTACAACGCATTTATCATCCTATCAGAGAGGTGTGTATTATTCAGTCAAGCTATTTAATAATCTGCCATAAAATATTTCAGCTTTAAAAATGATAAAACCAATTAAGTTTGTTCTACGAAATTATTTGCGAAGTAACTCTTTTTACTCTATTGGCAAATTTATTGAACATACAAAAAACTCAAATGCTAAGAATGAAGAAACAGTCTGTGTGCTTGCATTATACATTGTTGAGACTTTGCTTGTTATAAGTGTGGCAGTATGTGTAGTAACTGCGTTTGCTATGAATTTCAAAATATGTTAAAACGAAACTATACTGATAATATAGTTGGCTAATGTATATAGAATAACCAAATGTGCAGTTATGCAATATAGAATTATTATAGGTGGAAATAGGAAACATTTTATTCAAGGCCGAATGTGACAATAGTGTTTCCACAACTTAAGTATATTGTCTTGACAACTTGTGCTGTCTGCATGAGGACTGATTTATATACTCTATTCGACCTAAGATGTATGATGTTTATTTATCATGGATTTGTAACATGTGACATATTTTATATCCAGTCATACAGGGAAAGGATTGGATCGATGAAATGAAAATAAATGTAAATGTAAGGGCACGTTCAAAGCCGCGCCATAGCTCAAGCGGTTAGTCGCTGGCTCCCCACTGTGGCGGCCCGGGTTCAAACCTGTGTCTGGTCAAGTGAGATTTGTGGTGGATAAGGTGGTGCTGGGGCAGGTTTTCTCCGAGTACTTCAGTTTCCCCTGCCAATCTTCATTCCACCAAATTCTCGATCATCATAATCATCCGGAGCAGGTACAATAGGCCAATCAGTGGCCGCTGTACCAAGTGGACCCAACTGGACTCCAACCCCCACTATGCGAATTAAGTGCAAGTTTATGTCTTTTTACCAGACTGCATTACAAAGTTATAATATTAAAACAGAAAAATATTTTTAAAAATGTGCAATGTTCAAATATCTGGGAATGTCAGTATGGAGAAGTAAGTATAAAGATCATGTGTTTGTGTGTGTGTTTGAAGGGGGCTGAGACATTTTGGCATCACTGGCTATTCATGGCTAAATAAAATTTAAGCTGAAAGTCGATTACATTAAATTTTTCAAACTGCAAATGGAACTGGTAAGACAAATTGGTAGTCAAATCTAATCTTAAATAGAGAAGAATGATAAGCTAAAATGGGACAACAGTTGGTCAGGCTGTATAAGTGCCTCCAACAAAATAACTTCATGAATAAAACGAGACAGTCTATCTTATTTAACTATGGCTTAAGCATAGAGGTCCCTTTATGAAACTTCCATTTACTTTAATACCACCAGTCTTATTTAATGTAATTAGATAAAGCATAAATATCACCTATACAAATAGTGTAACAAAAATGGTTTCTCAAACTGCAAAGAACTATCATGAACGGCGGTTATCATGTCACTTCACAGAATTCTTGCAGTAAGAAAAAGAAAACGAAAAATATTTCCTTATATTTTTGTTTTGCATTCTTTCCATGTGGGATTTCAAATTTTCCAAAAAAAAAAAAAAAACAGATTGGCAATTCAACATGACAACTAGTAGAGAAATTCAAACATTTAGACACTAACTTTTGATGTTCATTTGAAATATTTTTCTTGAAATTAAATGCATTTAACAGGCTTACAAGAAAGTAACTGTAACTGTTACAAGACACACAATATTTTTAAATATTCATAATTCTAACCTCTTCAGAAATTGATTATAATCATTCCACTCATCCTCTGTAAGCTTCAGCTGCTGATCCATAAGGTCAAGTAATGCATCTGTGCACTCTTCACATAGAGGGTGGTCCACTTGTGAGTTACCAGAGAGAATGTCAAACAAACTTGCAGTCACCCTTATACGATGACTGAGGCTCTCTGTTTCACCTTCATCACCGACCAACATGAAGCCATTTGCACCATTACCAGACTCGGTCAAACGAAAAGCAGGAATGTACTGGTCCAAACTGCCAGCTTGTGATTCTAAATCAACTTCTGGTGCAGCATGAATTGGAACTGGAAACACAAGACGTCAATAATCGCATCTGCTATTTCAGTGACAACATACGAGGGTAAGACAATAAGTAAGTTACAAATGGATATAGAACTCAGACAAATAACAGAACTGTTACAATTAATATTTTGCTGGACATTATCCATCATCTTGTCTATTCTAAAAAACAGTNGTATAGCTCCAACCTTGCTCCAAGCAACTTCCATTTGTTCAGCCCTCTTAAACATCATCTTTCAGCTGAACATTTTCCCGACAATGAAATTGTAGAAAGGAAAGTCACCACCTGGTTCCAACAGCAGCCAAAATAATTTTATGCTGCTGGTTTTCAGAGGCTTGTGAAATGATGGAACAAATGCCTCAGTGTACAGGGAGATTATGTTAAGAAATAAAAGCATTTTTCAAATCAGTACTCTTATTTGTTTAAGTTCTATATCCATTTGTAACTTACTTATTGACTTACCTACATATAATATCACCTACAGGGGTTAACTTGGTCTCATCGAAATATAGCTTCCAAGAGGAACTGAGGAAACTCATCCTGGGTAGCTGATCTTCAGCTGGGATTCAAACCATGTCAAACTAATACTACTGTGCTAACCCACTGCTGCATCAAGTTATAAAAGCATACGATCTTAATAAACCCAGGAATGAGGCTCTCAAGATCACAGGCAATCTGGGCAGCATGGGAACACCCCTGAATTACTGCACAGCATTTTAATATTGACACATTAAAAAAGGGTGCTGAGGAGAATATTCAAACTGAAGAGAGATGAAGTGACAGGAGGCTGGAGATAGCTGCATAATAAGGAGCTTCATAACTTGTACTCTTCACCAAATGTAATTAGAATGATCTGGTCAAGATGGCTGAGATAGGAAGGGCATGAAGTATGCATATGGAGGAAGAGGAATGCATATATGATATTGGTAGGAAAGCCAGAAGGAAAGAGACCACTAGGGAGACCAGGATATGGGTGGGCAGAGAATATTAGAATGAATCTTAGTTAGAGAAAATAGGATGGGGTGCTATGGACTAGATTGATCTAGCTCAGGTTAGGGACCAGTAGTGAGCTCTTGTGAACACAGTATTGAACCTTCGGGTTCCATAAAATGCTGGGAAGTTCTTAAATAGCTGCACAACTAGCGGCTTCTCAAGAAGGGCTCAGCTGCACGAAGCAAGTTAGTTAGTGATAACTTCCACAAATTAAGTACTTATCACGCAACATGGCATTTGTGCAGCACAATTTTAGGCATAGTAATGCTTAAAGGGACTGACATGTCATCAAGGAACCCAAGGTTCATAAGGACCGTTTCTGGGCATCTTGCATGAAAATTTGTGTTTGCTTGGATACATATTTAGATACATGCAGTTCATACAGCTAACATGCAGACCTATATTTCCGTATTTAATAAGGTAAAGCTGTCCCTGTGCTTAACTAATTAAGCACAACGCCATGAAGAAGTATGGGGGACTGAATGTATGGATCTGCGTCACGGCTCGGAGAAAGTGCCTTCGGTATCCATTGTATAGGTGGCTGAGTGGGCCCCACAGCCGCTCTGGACATCGGGAAAGGAAAATTCTTGACCCTACAGGGGCTTGAACTCTGACCCCTCGATCATCCAGCCATTAGTCAGTCGCTATACTGACTACGCATACTGTTATAACTTACGAGATAATTCAGCGAGTGTATGTTCACCCAGGTTTCCAAACGTTGAATCGAGTTTCAAAGGCTGAAGACATCTCTGACACACAAATGAAACACTTGTCTTTGGCTCAGCCATTTTACAGGACAAATAATTCGCATTCTAAACTTTGGTTCTCCTTATAGCGCATTCGTTTACTTCACACCAGAAACTCACTAAAGCACATTTGTTTACTTCACACCAAAAACTCGCTACCCTTGCTAATAAATAATTGTTATCAATACGGTTAAAAGAAATCAAAGCTGTATAGCTTCAGCCTACTTCCATTAACCTCTTCTAACGTCAAACGCGAACAATGAAATTAACAGCTGTGCAAGCCTCATACCTGCACACGTCACAAGAGTGCCACATATGAAACCTTAACTATCCCTAACTTCAATACTTTTAGCATCCTGTTGCACTAGTTAAAGACTTAATTTGTGGGCCCAGTATTGAATATCTTGAAGGTGCAACTTCTTACCGTATTCGTAGACCTTATATTACGCTGTCATTTTGTAACTAATGTTACTTCTACAAGATGTTTCGACTTTGTAACGTCATCATCAGGTAGATACTTCTACGTGACTGCTGCACTGCATCGCTTTGTTTTTTCAAACTAGGTTAAAACTAGTTCTAATTGTTGTTGAATTTTGTAAAAACTGGATACAACTTATTTGTTTTTCACTGATATTCTTTGTTTCCGTCATTCCATCGTTTGTTGGGTTAAGTGCAGTCTCAAAGGTAAAGTTGTCAATGAGCTTAATTAATTGTGCACTACGCCATGAAGACGTATAGGGGAGTGGATGTATAGATCCATGTTTTCTTGACCTTGGCACTAGTTGGAGCTAAGTGGTCAGCTTCACGCACCAGGGAAAGAGTCTGCTGTACCCATTGCATAGGAGGCTGGGTGGACCCCAGAGCCAGTCTGGACAACGTGAAGAAATGAAAATTAGTTGGACTACTTTTAAGCAAGTTTTAGAATAAAGAACAAAAAGAAAAGCAATACGGTGCACCAAGTACATGAAAGCTAATACAAAGTTTTCCAGTGATACTTTTAACAGGCACTAATCAAACAGTCTTAACAGATACACTTTGCCACTGGTGCTTATTCTTACACAGTACCTTTGTCTCAGACTAATGAATAAGAGTATTAATATCTGCCTTGTGGATGAGTCGATGTAGTCTGGCAGAAGGTTACTAATGTTACAGAGGTACATACTGCCTCCATCTTCACTTCACTCCTGGAGGAGGAGGAGGCAGTATGTACCTCTGAACTGCTGGTGACCTTTCTCCAGACTATGTGGTGTCACCCCAGAAGACTGCAGGCTTCTATCTTTTGGGATTTAATGCCATGTAGTCTGTTGGAAGTCAACCAAACTGAAACCAGGTCTTCATCCTGGTTTCCTACTGAGCTTATTCTTTAACCCTGAAGATAGAGGCTACATGTTCGTCTGAAATGTCGGTTGACTTTCAACTCACTATATAGCATTATATCCCAGATGATAGAATTCTTCTTAACAAACACTGTGAAAACCTCAAATCCTGCAGTCTCCATTCTTGTAACTTTTCAGTGTTCTGACCTGTGAAGTATGTTGGCTCTCAAAAGCACACTTGAATCCATCTCTTATACTATAATTGTTAAATTTTACTGGCCTTTTTGCTCTGTGCAGAGCTAATATATAAATGGAAAATACGGTCAGTGAAGGAAAAACGTCAGTAAAAAAGATTGTAGATGTGGAAGGGACTGTGCATTGTAACAGCCAGGTGTCACATAACTATATAAAATAAATTCAATAAAGTATTCTGTTCAAATCTAATAACGTGTCTTTGGAGTGGGGTAAGATGGTTCAAATTTGTACAGAAGCCCCAGTGTTATGTGCATGTGTGGCAGTGTCCAGTGAATTAAGAAATTACAGCTTCTTTGTAGTTCAACACAAGCCACCTGAAGTTTATCACTACTATACATTTCCTTAAAAAAGTATGAGGGTATATTCAGAAGTTTCCCAAATATGATCAGTAAAGAGGAATGCAGTGAATCAACAGAAATTTTATATAACAGAGCACTTCCTTCTGTCCCTTACTTAATGGAGCCCCCACCAAGGTTGAAGCAATTCTCCCACTGATGAGGGAGACAATCACTTACAGAGCTACAGTTGTTTATGCTTGGATCCAGGCTTGTAGCAAGCTATATACATCATGATGTCATGTTCCAGCATTTCTGATGCAGGCCATGTTATATTTTATCACAAAACACTGTGTAATACTTACCATCAATGGTAGTATGAGACATGGGATGGTCAAGCTCAAGTCTTTGACAGGTGAAGAAAATGATCATCTTCATTTTCAGAGTGCTCTGATTGCCATGCAGTCTTTGTCTATTCATTTTTTTTTTAATTTGCTTAGTGGGGAGGTGGACTCCAACTGGGTCCCCTCGGCATGGCAGCCACTGATTGGCCTATTGTAGCCTGCTCCAGGTGATTATGATGGAGAATTTGGTGGAATGAAGATTGGCAGGGGAAACCGAAGTACTCGGAGAAAACCAGCCCCATAGCCACTTTATCCACCACAATTCCCACTTGACCAGACCGGGGATTGAACCTGGGCCACCACAGTGGGAAGCCAGCGACTAACCACTTGAGCTATGATGAGATGGGAAACTGCACTTTGCTACTTCAGTTCTAGGCCAAATGGTTTCATAATCATCAGACTGTGATCAATGAAAACTTCTGTCTCCTTTTGCCAACACTGGTATTCATGTCTGTAATTTTTTCCAGAAAATATACGTTTGTCCTTATTCATCTAATTTATCTCACTTGCAGTTCAATTTTTGACATGATTAAGTTCAATAGTTCTTTTACAGCTTTCATCTCATCTCAGTTGAGAGTTGCTTATATGTTTTGTTTAAATTTCTAGATATTCAGCCCCATATATATGTACTCATAACATTAAAACTCTATATAATTTCACTATTTTTAAAGTGGAATAGAAGAAGAGAGATAATGTATGTTCCATATATATCTGATGTTAAGTGCAGTGCTGTAGAGAAAGCTGAAAGACAGCTTAACATCTAGAAGTCTAATTCATGTTATAAGGGGATTTCCTATATTACAAAGACAAAAATATTGTCTGAGAATCACATAATTCCATATTCTGTTACCATGAACATGAAAGAGTAACTCAATTTAATGCACAAAAGATATATTCAAAATTAAAGATTAGGTAAAACAATTTACACATTGTTTTCACTTCTCAGATTCTCATAAACATTAACAATTGAAATAAAGAATATGCAAGAAAGAACAAACTGCTGTAATTCACACTCATATACATGTTCATTCAAATATTGAGAATTACATACTGCAAATTATCTTATGACAAAAAGATAAGTAACCAAATAGGTACAATATGAACGTGAATGAATGTGCATGTTTCAATGTCATAATAAGAGTATGCTTTGTGAAGCTGAAGGGGAGGAAGAAGAGAGGAGGCATTCTGATTTTGACAGTTTTGCTTTAGAACTAGTTTTCTCAGTTAACTGATCAAACAATAAGGTTGGCAATAGATGACAAATTTCTTTCAAATGTAGAGTAAATATTTTATAACAAATTATGGTGAAAGAGAAATATATTTCTGCAGAAACATAACCCAGCATATGCTATGAATAAAGAAAATGTACAGCCACTAAAGAATCAGGTCATTAATGCTACAGAAAAGGAGTTATAGTAGAACTACAATTCACAGCCACTCTTAAAGCAGCTATATAAACCTATTTCCAGTATTTTCATAGGATATGATTTCTTCTTGCATACCAAATACCATTATCCTAATCTTGAGAAGCATTATATCTTGCATATTATAATGTAGACTTATTTTGGAAAAACCAAAGCAAGGCAAAAATAAAACCACCAGGGCTCAGTACTGTGCCTTTGTTTATGTACTCCTTGGCTTGTGGAACAGTCATTTCTACTACCTCAATAAGTTCACCTTCTTCTAGATTTCCACCTCCTGAAAAATGCATAGAAAATGTTTCAGTGTGCATTTGCAGATATCAGAAACAGTTCATAATTAACTGACAACTCTTAATTTGTTTTCTTACCTTTTCCTACTTTCATGTTATCAGTCACTTCAGCATAGAAGATTGTCTGATTATCTCCACAAACACCTATTCCTGACCTACCAAACAGAAGTTATGTTTAGTAACTTTTTTTAACTGATTAGTACAAGTAAAATTGGTGCATAGATCACTATACAGTTCTGAGACATGAGAACCTAACAGTAATATCTTTACTTCAATAATTAGGTTTCTTCATATATTCATCCCTCACTCTACATTACTTTTCATCTTTCTGAACCAGCTCTGGAAGCAATAATGCCACTCATTTTGTGGTACTGCTGCAAGTTTCTGTTTGTGCGTATCTAAGGAATTTTCAGGATTTCAAAACTGATGACATTAAAGGAAAAACCTTCACTGCTGGAAACAAGATGAAGTCTCATTATTTCATGTCTGGCCTGTAATATTCTGCAGGACAGGGACTGTAGTGTTTGTGCTACACGAGGAGTCACTGTCACGGAGCAAGAGGAGTGCTGCATTTCTTGAAGTTTCTCGGACACTTAGACCAGGAAAATTGTTGTTCAAAGTATCATTGAGAAATAACAGTTTCAAGTAAAATTGTAGCTTCATGAACACTTGTCAAAGAACAAAGTTTCCAATATTATATTTAAGCATCCTGTTGCATTCTACATAATATATGACATAAACTCCGTCCTAAGTGCAACAATTTATTGTAGTTCTTTCGTCTTGCTTTCTTCTACACTACATGTTTCGGCTGCAAATGGCCATCATCAGGTGTATACTCTCACGTAGCTGCTACACTGCACATAGTTTAAAATTTAAAAAAACACTAGTCTTCCCAACTGTTCATTTCGCCGTTGCTAACAGGTTTCGATATATCAGAATCTTTCCCACTGATATCTGTCTGATATGTACACTCTTTATTAACCTACACACGTCAATTTGATTTTCATAAACTGGCACTTTTAAAATTTGAAAAAACTTTAAAGAAATTTTTAAAATTGGAATTGAAGATTTTAAAAGTGCCAGTTTATGAAAATCAAATTTACGTGTGTAGGTTAACAAAGACCGTGCATATCAGACAGATATCAGCAGGGAAGATTCTGATATATTGAAACCTGTTAGCAACGGCAAAATGAACAATTGGGAAGACTAGTGTTTTTTAAATTTTAAACTACGTGCAGTGTAGCAGCTACGTGAGGGTATACACCTGACGATGGCCGTTTGCGGCCGAAACATGTAGTGTAGAAGCAAGCAAGACGAAAGAACTAAAATAAATTGTTGCACTTAGGACGAAGTTTATGTCATATAACAAAGTTTCCAACGTTTTGTGAGCACTTCGCTATAACAGGAGGCCAGTCACTAGCAAAGATCCAAATGAGTGTCTGGAGTTTTGTTTCATGGATGAGTTGATAGTTCCATGTTTTGCCCATGACAATGCCAGAAACTGGGGTAGAATTGCTATTCACTATTTAAGTAATGCAAGCATCATTCCATTCACATGAAATTTATTGTGTAAGATGGCAAAAACACCCAACAAACTACTAATGCGTGATGCTGTCTCAGTCTCCTTGTACATTAATCATAAATCTTCCTTGTCACCATTTCTACATGAGAAATGATTTCTTCAGTCATGCCTGTGATCAGCTGTGCATTCATTTCATACCCTTCAGAGATGATGTCATATTTAATACAGGAAAACTGTGACATGTAATGAAGGAGTACCCTGAAAAGCCTGTCACACAAGTCTGAGTGGGTGGCTCTCATTTCAAGTCATGCATGTAACTGTTCTCATCAATAACTCCATGACACAGATGGGTCACCCACTCAGTGTGATCAGTGTGAGCTTACAGAGCTTGCAACACAGACTGGTGAACTGCTATCTGGTAATGGCTAAGAGCAAGGAATTGTATTTCTCAAGTTACAATAAGGTAAACTCATGCCCCAAAAACATTTATAATGGCCCATGTGTACAACAAAAATGTAGTGCACTGTTTTGACCAAATTCACATCATTTTCACTACCTTCAATCGTGTTGCTGTGATATTCAGCTGAAGTTGAACATGTATCCATTACTGTATGATGTGACATTGACGTCAGTCTACATCAAGAAATAATGATCTCCTTTTGATGAGTCATTCAACTTCATTCACTGGGGTATGAAAATGCACTTTTGTTGTAATTTTTTATACATTTTCCTTAAAATTGCATTATTTTTGGAAAGTGGTGAGAAAATAACATGCAGCAAAAAGCTTACATTTCTTCTGTTACTTGAACAAGTAATTGTACATTTCTTTAATTCATGAGTTTATTGCTTAACCAAGTAATTTTATGTACCACTATTTGTTTCTACACTTATTGAACCCATTAACTGCCAAGCCATGCTTGAGAACTACCTGGTAAGAGTACCAAGGCTGACAATGGTAAGTGCAGTTGCACAGAAAAACTCATAATACTTTTCTCATGTTCTCTCCACTAAACATCTGTAAGTTATACCTGATGCCATCTATTGACAGAAATGCTATTACCAACTGATTAACAATGAACTGACCTCTTGTTATTTTAATGCCAGTAACCCAAGCCAAACAGGTGAGTTTGTGGAGTGCAAAAGATCAACAATTATCAGTGGCAAATGTGGCCATGAATTCAGGTCATGTGGAAATGCAAGTGCTGTACTCTCCCTTCTCAGCATGAAAATGCAGTGTTTTAAATGATAACAAATGAAAAAAATGATGATGATCATAATTATTGCAATAATAATCTAAAAGTGAGTGTCACTTACCTGTATGAAATAATTCTCTCAAGATTAGAGACTGGAATATCATAACCACATTCCTCCAGCACCTCAATTCTTGCTACTTCTTCAAGAGCCAAGTTCTTGTCTACAATACCAGCACATAGCTCGAGGGTAATTCCACATTCTGGTGGATATTTACTTGTTTCAATTATCATCTGTCGATCATATTCAGGAATACTGGCAAAGTACACAGCTGTGCGGAAATAAACCAAAGCAGGAGTAAATCTAATTTGCAGCAAGTAAAGTGTCTCCTCTCAAACTTGGCGTTTCTTAAAACATACCTGGTCGAAACTGCTTTACAAATATTAGCACTTTTCTTGTAGTGTTGTATATTAGAATGGAAACACTGGAAAGGAAACAATTATTAGTAAATGTTAAAGTTGTCCCGGTGCCTAATTAAATACTACGCCATGAAGGCATATGGGTGAGTGGATGTATAGAACCAGATTTTCTTGACCTCAACACTAAATGGATGTGAGTGGTCAGCTTCACGCCCCAGCCGCTTTACCCCCGGGGAAACATTCCCCAGTCCCCAACTGATGTGAGGTTGGGTGGAACCCAGAGCCAGTCTGGACGATGCGGCGAAGAGAAAATTCTTGGCCCTACCAGGACTTGAACTCTGACCCCTCAGTCATCCAGCCAGTAGCTAGTCGTTATACTGACTATGCTATCCCGGCTCATTAAACAATTATTAGTGGGTGGTCGAAAATACTATCTATATCAGTTTTCCCCCACCATTTCCGAATCATGGGCAAGTAAATTACTAGTGGGTTTTCTGAGGACTGTTATCTGTCTCACATTGATTAGTATAAATATAATTAACAAGTGTAATTATTACTATTACTTACAATACAACGTTATATGTGATATTAAAAACCACGTTTTAGATCCCAGTCAGCCATACAATTAAAAATTCTGTATGACAGCATACAAAATAATTTAAATTGACAGAAATTTCACATCACTATATAATGGAAAAAGAGAAACAGCTGTCTTATTTTGGCAGCCTCTGTCCAAACAAATTAGTTATGTTCAACATAAACTAAAAGAAATTAAATTTAGACAAAATCACAAGCTGTCAAATAATAATTCTTCCAAATGTGGCAAAATATATATAATAAAATGCTAACCAGTAGCACAAGCTGGGATAGCTTAGTCGGTATTGTGGTGGCCTACAGGCTTGACAGCCAGGAATCGGGGCTTGATTCCCAGCAGGGCCACAGGGCTGAAGGATTCATTAGGGAGGAATTAATAATTGCAACATATTTCTTTTCAAAAGCGCACTACAGAAAAATTACTGTTACAAACTTCAACAACCCAGTTAAAAGTATGAGTTCTGAGCAGAACTCATAAAGGCCATTTTCCTATTGTATCCTACATATCTTGTAAGCATATATTCCTCTTTTAATAGAAAAAATAGCAGCCCTATTAGATGAGTGTGTTTTCTATGTGTGTATCCCTGCCTATTTTTGATTCAACTGGCAAATTTTCACAAAATTTGGTATGATGATTATGCCACTAGTGATCAACCTAACCTTGTACATTTTAATTCATATAACTGGTACTAACAGTACTACCCCAAGGCCATAGTACAACTGGAAGGATTAGGTGAACTGAAAAATTTAATGACCTCATTGAGAACCAAACCCATGACCTTTGTGCTTGTAGCCTCAACCAACTACGTTACCATGTGCCCCTTGTGCAACAGTAGCTCAACTTAATATTTGCACTTGAAATGGCATGTGGTGCCAGATTTGAAAAATATGCAAATTTCCTGAGGGCAGTATTTTTATTGAATGTAAAAGAACATGGCACTGTATGAAAGCTGTACTTGATTTTTAATTTGATGGCAATAACTAACCTGAATCTTGCAAGTCGGACACAAAACACATAAAAGGATTTCTTGGTATTTTTTTTTTTTGCTTCGATATTTGGGAAGCAAAAAAATCATACAAATATGACATACAAACAAGTCAACACTCGTCATTCAGGCGGTTTTCCCAGAAAAAAACATAGTGAGAACTGATCTGTTGTAGTTCTCCTTCTGCATGCCATGAAGTTTCAAGTTTTAAAAGCTGAAGTCAGGAAGAAATAAGGGTATTCCCTACCTGTCATGTATTTTTATCAAATCCCATGTTTTTTCAATGCCATTCTGTAAAAGATTTAAGAAAACATTTGCTAATATCTGAAAGTAACTGGGAAATTCCCTGCCTGTCATGTATTTCTATTTAAGTGTCATACTTTTTAATCCTATTCTGCAAAAGAATTAAAAAGTAACATTTTATCTTTCATGTTACATAGATAAGTTCATTTTAGGGTCTTTGAAGAAAAAAATTGCATAGTGAACAAAAAAATGTGGCCAATGGGAAATCATATAAGACACAACTGTTTTATGTCCCATGCTACTTTGGGTACTACTCTAAACTAATGACAATGGTGAATTATTTGTAGCCCTGTTTATGCCCTGAAAGTTAATAGGTGTTGGAATAAGATTACTCAATTCTGGGGAGTTATACGGTTAGTCAGGTATATGTTCACCAACCAGACTACACGGTTTCACATCACAGAAGCAGTAGTGTTTAAAATAACTGCCATGAGAACCTCAAATCTCCCTGCTGTAATAAAAGATTAAGACTAACTGGATGGGCCAGTAGGAATGCTGTTACACAACGAAAACCAAACAACTTTAATGCTTCAAACACATGCTATTAGTNGTCATATAAGACACAACTGTTTTATGTCCCATGTTACTTTGGGCATTACTCTAACTAATGACAATGGTGAGTTATTTGTAGCCCTCTTTACGCCCTGAAAGTTAATAGGTGTTGGAATGAAGGTTACTCAATTCTGGGGAGTTATACGGTTAGTCAGGTATATGTTCACCAACCAGACTACACGGTTTCACATCACAGAAGCAGTAGTGTTTAAAATAACTGCCATGAGAACCTCAAATCTCCCTGCTGTAATAAAAGATTAAGACTAACTGGATGGGCCAGTAGGAATGCTGTTACACAACGAAAACCAAACAACTTTAATGCTTCAAACACATGCTATTAGTACATAATTCTATCTTTATTACAAGGCGAACAACGAGACCATGATATGGTGGTAACAATGAAAATTACAGGAACTATATACATTTCAACCTCAAAAAAACAGAAGTGCAAAGGCTACAACCGGTAATACTTCACTGTGAATACATTAAGTATTCAGACTTTCAAATTATAGATGATAATATACCTGTGTGTAATGCATCCTTAGCGGTTTCACATAATTTGAGTCACCGAGTGACGATAATTTTACGTTTCTGATATCGTTCATTACACTTTTCGCGAGAATTCTTTTAATGGTAACGTAACGCACATGTAGCCACTGAGATACGTATAGAGGTATAGAGTGTAGACATACGTAAGCGCCATCTGCAGCGGTGTCTACTGCCATCTATCAGCAGCGTTCATACTAAATGTTCATATGTACCACTCATACCTATCACATTTGTCTGAACCATTCACAGTCCCTAATAAAAGATGGCTTACATGTGTTCCATTCGGATGTAGCGGTGCTTGAAAGTAATTACACACAATTTACAAGATAAGATCTAAATGTTTGTACGATCGTACATTAATACAATTGCTGTGTCTTTGGACATTAACCATTGTCCTGAATGCGGAGACAGAATTCAGTCTCCGAAACACTGTGTTTTAAATAAAAAAAACAAGACGATCGATAATGCCCAAAAACACAATAACTGAATTTACAAGTTACTGCTTATTCTCTGCTGGATGGTAAGTTTTGAATTTGATATCGTTATAAAACGGAAAACATTTACGCAAGAAGTTACATCTCCATGTTAAACGTGTTATTTGTATATATATAAATCTAACGCCTACTACACGGCATGAAATTAGAAATGTATAGAATTCAGTGAAGTAAAAATATTCATGTGATTATGACGAAATTTTATCTAAATTTATTTACATCTTATGTAGGAAACGTAAATATTCCGTTAAATTATATATGCAATAATTGTGTGGAAGTAAGTCTCGTATTTGTATTATGACATGTTCTGCATCCTCTGGTTTAGCCCAAACAAGTAATCTGTGGAATATCAAGAAACCTGAACTGTATCATTACTGTTACTCTTAAGCTCGAGTTTAACTTCAAAATTGAAACATAATTTTACACGATTTGAATTGCCCGCCAGCACTAGTTACAAACGTTAAGTCAGTAATGTAGATATAATAGTTATAATCATCCAGTGGCTGAACCCACAGTACCGACGCGGGTCTTATGTATCACTTCTAAACGCCAAAAAGAGATCATTAAGGTGTCTTCACAGGCACAGCTGGCCCTGAGTTTGATGCAGCGACAGTAATGACATTAAAGTACAAAAAATCGGTAGTACATTGTAGCTAGGCATATAATTTGCATACGAGTATTTAACATCACTTGCTAGCTTGTGAATCCCTGGAGGTATAGCTCTCTAGCTGAAACGATGTTTGATTTCTATGTAGTCCAACTCTGTTTAATTTATGTCAATGGAGTCCTTGCGGAGTAAGTATCAAGATTATTTCTATTTGTGAGTCTCGTACTAAGACCATTCAGAAATTTATTTTTTAAGAAATTTTAAGGTATGGACACTCTGAAGGAAATATATTTTTTGAAGTTTTTACAACAATAAATACAGACTGCAGCTTGGGTACACATTTTCATATTTCTTTAAGCAGAGATTTTATTTTATGTTTAAACATGGAGGCAGGACATTTCATTGCATACCACCAGAAGTCCTGGTCTTATGCAAATAAAAGAAGGCGACTCATTTCTAAATTTATGGGATTTCTAAGACTTAGTGCCCGATCAAGAATTGTTTCGGTTTTATATTAAAAAAATATATTTTTTAGAGATTTCCCTGGAAATTTCTAAGATACGATACCATTTAAAACGACCTGTGTGACGTTAAAACTGTCTAATTTATATCCATGTCCTTAAAAGTTGTGGTCACCTTGACAATAGGGTGAACGCAGTTTTCTTTTCTGTGAGGGATTCCTGAGGAGAAGCCAGTCTCCTTGACATCTGTGACAGCTGTATTTATGGAATGTCGGAGCACATCCGCAGGTATGCCTTAATTGGTTGTCCCTTCTGCTCTGCCCCACAAAACTTATCATGAATGATACCACTCACAGCAAAAAGGACTTAGCTTTCTCCAACTTTCATTATATATATTACGACAGTGGCTGACGAAACTACTGTCCGTGACAGGTTAAATCTGGCTTGCGACGATTATCACATATTATTAATAAATCGAACGTTCCTCTAATTTAAGACACAATTTTTTGCAAGTTAAATTAATTGCATTATTAAACAAATAATATGAATCACAAATTGTACGAAGTCCGTCATACCTCTCTATTGGTGGACACTACAAGATGCGCAGTTATTTCTGCGCATTCCAATGTGCATATTCACAAATACAAGAAATCGATGTTGAAAAAAGAGCACTGAAATTTTGTAATCGGGAAAGCCCAAACTGATGCTTGGTTGGTATGATCATTTATATTTACCGATAGGTTTTGTCGTATCTTCAACGTCCTCAGACAAAGAATTTGCGACTGCTTCCTCTCAATGTCTTCCAAATTAATCATTCGCATCGACCTTGCCCTTCCATGCTGTATGACCTACGGAGTTGAAAAAATGTGCATCATTAAATAAACGTTGAAAACGGACACACAGCCATAGGCAGTTGATTGGGTCTACAGATGAAGACATAAGCATAGAAGATATTAAGAGGCAAATAAATTATCTTGACACAAAATTTTAGTTAAAAAACCTAAAAAGAAGAGACAACTTGGTGATTCTAAGCACAGGTTGGAGGATAATTTTAAAATATTTGTCAAATAAATGGGGTATGATTATCCGGACTGGATTTATCTGGTTCAGAATAGGCCCGAGCGACGAGCTCTTGTGAATATGGCAATGCACCTACGGGTCTCAATAGGAGGTGAGGTGTTTCCTGACAATCTAGGCGACTGTCAGTTTCTCAAGAAGGATCATTCAACATGTGGTCAATTATGGGGTTTCGAAAATGCTGTGTGCAGGGTCTACGCTGGTCTTGTACCGGAGAGGCGAAGATATGACGGCCCCTGCGGGTTAACCTTCATATAACGGAAGCGTGAACTGAGGCACCAACCACGAAATTTGCTACTGTAATTGAAGAGATAGATTTCGGTGCTCTACGAACAATGGAAGATTACATAAATATTTTCGTAAATAAGTACATAATCATTTAAGCAATCAGTAACTCTGCATGTGGTCAATATTCATTTCGGTGTATCACCTTTACGTTTTTGGGTTCGCATTATTCTCCGAAAGTTTGGGGCACGCGGTAGCGTAGTTTGTTGAGGCAATATGCTACAAGCCAATAGGTTCAAGTCCCAATGAGGTGGATTTTTTTGATTGACCTCAACCTTCCAGCCGCATTATGGCCCTGGGTTCTACTCAGTCTGTAACATAAATGAGTATCAGGAATCTTCCTGGGGGTAAAGGCGACCGGTACGTAAGGCTGATAAACTTACCGCCATCTATGAGCCAGTTGTCTAGAGAAAATGTGGGAACATCGACGTCTCACAACCCTATGGGTCTTCGCGGCCTGTTACAGGAATGGCTTTACCTTTCTTTTTTTACCTTATATTCCGAAACTCTTTGTTATCGTGTATGGACCAACAAGTATCTTAAGGACACAGGTGAGTGTTCACTTCAGATTAAATGTAAATATGAAAACAGACTAGGAGTACTGAAAGTACAAATAAATATTACGAAAATTAAATTTAATAAAGTTGGTAAATTTGTCCCTGTGACTAATTAAATAAGCATAATACCATGAAGATGTATTGGGGAGTTGAGGTATAGCTCCACCAATCTTGAAGTTGGCAGTAGATGGAGGTGAGTGGTCAGCTTGACGCCCTTGTCGCTTTACCCACAGGGAAACGGCTCCCCGTTACCAATTTCATAGAAGGCAGGGTGGACCCAGTGCCAGTATGGACGTTATTAAATTAAATAAATTTAGTAAATTAAAAGTAAGATAATTCGAATAAATGAAACAGATATTCATATAGTTCAACGAACTGATGTTAAGCGAGTAAGGACCTTTGACAATCTTAGAGTTTAAGTCAACTAAATAAGGAAATACAGTAAATGAATTAATAAAATTATACCGTCATTTCGCGCTATAACTACATGTATGTGTTAACTAAGGGGAATGTCACCATGTCCTGCAGTATTTCTGAAACGATTAGAAGCCAGAGATTAATAAAGTGGTGGTGTTCCTGCCGCCACACAGTGCGTGGGTCGACCCAAGGTGATCCAGTGGCGGTGAGGACCAATGACAGTGGCCAGTGTCTACCCAATTAACTACCAAAGTCTCGCGGAATGCGAGAACATCCTATCTGCCTAAATTTTTCCACCCTAGAAGCTGATTCAGAATCGAAGGAGTGGCTGGATGTAACTTGCCTTCAAATTCCAAAGATGTACGAGGTTATTCCACATTGCCGAGGGCACAGGATCTCAAATTTTGAACACTAAAATATTCCGCGTAAAATTCAATGCGTTAACTTCTTCATGCCGTTTATCTGGGAATGTCAGCAACAAATGACATTTATTTTCTTATAATCTGATGTTCATCATTTTTTAAAGTAGACAGAATATTACAATTTGTTATATAAAATTATATTTATCAAATGATGCAGCTGATCTACTGATATGTTCCCAAATGTTGGTCTAATTTTGTGTTATAATTTATATAGGAATTCCTACCATTATTTATAATTCTGAAAGATTATAATCATGTAAATAAAACAATTATTATTACTGGAGACAAATATAATTTAAAGTGTGACTGATTTTCCATTCTCAATTGCAATTATTTTTATAGGCGTAAGTTATATTTACATATTTTTTGTTTGACGGCCTTGCCAGGAGCTTAAACTATGCGGTTTCAACTGATAAGTCGATTATTGAATGATACGTACTAGAGGACATGGAAATAAGTGATCGTGGCCTATTTTGAGGAAGTATTCCGGTACCTGCCTGGAGAGACTGAGGGAAATTCATAATATTTCAATCAGGGCATTTGGTGTGCGACCGAAAATCGAAGAGTACACCGCGCAAATGGGCCTACAAGTCGGATGAGTTACTGCATGAGCCTGCTTACTCTCTCCCTAAGTTATGGAACCGCTGGAGGAGAGAATAATATTTTCTCACATGTGTGGGACTACTGGTCTTGCAAATATGAGAGGAAAACACGCCGAGAATAACTGTTTTTAATAAAAGTATTCATATTCCTGCATGAAAGTTTATTCTTGTTTTAATTGGGAGAAGAGGGTCAC